GCTGGAACCTAATTTAGGCTGTCAACTCAGATCCCTTTCCCATCAGTGCTCTTCCTTTGCAGGTGTTTCTCTCCCGGCTGGCGTTTGTCACAGGGCCTTAGAGTGCTGGCTAGTGTTTACTTCTCTTCGCTTCTTGTGCCAGTTATCAATTTATTGCCCCTGGCCTGTACATTCAGTTTTGTTGCCTGATCTGTGAAAGTGGATCCGGACCCTTTAAATACCAAGTTTGTCCTTCCTGGGATACAGTCTCCCCATCCTAGGATACCTTTTGGATTTCTCTTCCCATATTTACATTTACTCTCCTATCACTGTCTAATAGTTCTTTATATGAAACTGTCCTCTTTGAATTACCGTCTGCTTTCGGTCTCCCTGTTGGACCCACACTGTCCAAAACATCCTCCTCTCGAGAACTGACGGTACTCCAGCGCTTGTTCTAACCTGCCGTGCTGCCAGCCTGCTTCTTATAAGGAGAGAAGCTTGTGCTTTTTCTCCTTCAGTCTTAACCTCGCCTTTGACTCTGTGGTGTTGAATGGGGCTCATTGGTGCTTCTGGGACCCCAGACTTTGTCTTTCTGAGCAAGAGATTATTTGGTTTGGCTTTATATCCGTGGAACAAGGGAGGCAGCATAACTGATTGGTTAGGACTGTGGACTCTCATCAAATTGCCTGAGGTTGAATCCCGGCTTTTCTTGTTAATTCTGTGATCTTAGGCAACTTACCTCTCTCTCTATTTTCATCTTTTTGATGAAACTGCAAATAATAATAATACCTACCTCTTAGAGTTGTTGTGGGGATTAAATGAGTTAATCCCTGTAAATGCTTGGACCAGTGCCTGGCATTGTAGCTCTCAGTACATTCCCAGTTGACATCCACGTCATCACCATTATTAATTCTGTGAACTCTGCTCATTGCTGGAGACTTGAAATGTATGTCCCTGTTCTTACTGTACTTCCTCAGTTGGATACAAGTTTCACTGCCTTTGGCAACGGTTTTCCGTAAATTCTAGTTTGGGAATGTGGCTGTTTCCCTCCCCCCACCCCCCCAATTTTGTTTCTTTTTATCCCCCCGCCCCCTGGTTTTAGGAAGAGACAGACAGAAAGGCCTTCCTTTGCCATCATTAACTAGAAGCACATAATTTTGTTAGAGGGATCAGTTCAACAGCGGCTTGTTTTCAAAGAATGACAAAGTGAGAGAGAGGCATGGACATATATACAGCACCAAGCGTAAAATAGATAGCTAGTGGGAAGCAGCCGCATAGCACAGGGAGATCAGCTCAGTGCTTTGTGACCACCTAGAGGGGTGGGATAGGGAGGGGGGGGGGGAGGGAGACACAAGAGGGAAGAGATATGGGAACATATGTATATGTATAGCTGATTCACTTTGTTATACAGCAGAAGCTAACACACCATTGTAAAGCAATTATACTCCAATAAAGATGTTAAAAAAAAGAAAACAAAAAGAATGCTTGCAATTTATTTTTATAGATTTATTAAAGAATTTACAGATTTCTGCAGCGTGTGCAGTCGAGCTTTCTTCCTGCCTGTGATAGTATATCATATAATAAAAGTGCATTTCCTTTAAACCGTTTTGTTCGCCAGTATTTCATTCATGATTTCACTTTGGCAAAGGTGCTGTTTTAGGCTGTGTTTGTTGCAGGGTGGAAAGTGACTAGCAAGACTGAATTCAGTAAGGGTCGATGCTACATTTTTCACTAAAAATTGTGCAATTACAGGACAGCTTGAGTGTGTGTAGAAAGTGCGTGGGAGTTTTAGTTGAATCAGTTGTGTGATGGGGCTACCAAGGAAGCTGGCCTGATCCTAGGTTACAGGAATTGAACTGTAGTGTCCTCTCTGACTAGGGAGGACACCGTTCTGCTCTTCTCTGCCCTGGTCACACTGCACCCTGGGGACTGTATTCACGTCTGGGAACCATCCTTTAAAGAGCACAGACATATCACTTTGTGTTCAGAGGAGAGTGACCAGGATGTTGTGGAGCATCTGAAACAATGCGTCTTCAAGTAATGGGTTGAAGAGGTAGAGGTATTTAACCGGGGCTGAGGAGATTGGGTCAGGCAGTGGGGAGATAGAATGCCAACCATAATAACAGAAGCTGAAATTTACTGAGTGTGACCCTGAGGCAGCACTGAGAACCATGCATATGTTATCTTATTTAATTCTCATAACAGTCATATGAGGTAGGAACGATAATTATCCCATTTCACAAATAAGGAAACTGAGGTTACTAAAGTGAAGAAATTTAATTGAGGTCACACAGTTAATGAGAGCTGGAGCGAAGATTTGACTTAAGGTTGCTTATTGTAAGGACTTGAGCTTGTAAATACTGTATCTTACGTTTCTTATGATTGGTATCTTCAAGTATTATGCATGGGGAAGAGGGGTCCCAGAAATTAAAACTAAGACAGGTAGTTGGCAAATGCCCAGACGTAGATTCCTGAATCAGAGTAAGGCGCTGCTTTCTAGATGGGAGGGTAGTGAGTTCCCTGATAAGGCTTCCGCTGAGGTGTATGCTGAGTGACTGCCTGGTGGGCGTTGGTAAGGAGGTACATATTTGGAATACGGGTGGAGGTGGATTATGTGACCTTCAAAGTCTCTAAGAACCCTGAGATTTGGGGCTGCTGTATATGTTTTCCTCTTTGTCAAGTGTATTCTTTTTTTTAACTTGAAATTTAAAAAATTGTGGTAAAATACACATAATAAAATTTAGCATCTTAACCATTTTTAAGTGCACGGTCTGGTTAAGAATACTCACATTGTTGTATACAACCAAGCTCCAGAACGTTTTCGTCTTGCAAAGCTGAAATTCTATACCCACTAAACAACAACCCCACCATGGACCTCTCCCTCCAGGTGCTGGAAACCACCATTCTACTTCCTGTTTCTGTGAATGTGACTACATATAAGTAGAATCATACAGTATTTGTGTTTTGGTGACTGACGTATTTCACGTAACATAATGACCTCAAGACTCATCGGTGTTGTATGTAGCAAGTGTCAGAATTGCCTTACTTTTGAAGGCTGAATAATACTCCACCATATGCAGGCAGCACATTTAAAACATTCTGTCAGGTGTATTTTTTTTTAGCAAAAAAAAAAAAAAACTTAAAAAAGTATTAGAGTTAATATTACAACAACCTATGGTTCTGTTTGCAAACTATTATAAATAAAGTTATCTGGGATGGTTAGGGAATGATGGGCCCTAATTAATAAAGCCATTTGGTTCATAGAGAAAATATAAAAATTATGGGAGTCAGCTGCACTGACTCTGTGGCATATCCTGGAGGTACTATTTTGCATGAAATTTCTAATAATTGCTTAATTTTCTTATAATTTAATACCTTAAAAAATCAAACTCAGTATTTATTGGACAAAATGAAGTGACATCACCAAGATCCCAGTTACCAGAGGCAGAGAACATGAGAAATTCTTCCTTTTCCCCTTTTAAATATCCAGGTTGTATTTTCTTTTTTATATGTCTTCTTAACAAAGGATTTAACCATAGAGTTTACATTAGTGATAGCTTACCAGGTAATTTCCAAAACCAGCAACTTTTTCTTGGTTTTTATTTGGCTATAGCCTAAAATAAAGGCATAAACTCATCCAGTCGCTGGCTGCAAGGGCCAGGGGTGGCTCAGGAAGAGGTGGGCTTAAGCCCCCCGTAATGTCTGCCTCTGGCCACCCCTGCAAAGATATGGTCTCAGTCAAGCCAGGGTGCTTGTTGTGTAAACCAGCCTCAAGACAAGTCCTTCACCTCCTTGTCCCGGCTGGATCCCACCCATCTCGGCATGCAGGCTCAGAATAGCAGTTTTCAGGTAACCGCTGTTTACTGAAACATGTACTGAAAGGGCGATAGACTTGCAGGGAGGCTCTCAAAAGTAAGTTTTTGGTAAGACGTCTCCAGATGACTTTCAGCATTTGACTTTCTGCGTGGTTTCCATAGCAACAACTGGGAAGTCACACATATTGGCCTGTGAGGAGCAGGCCAACTGTGCAGAGAGCAGCTGTTCTAAAGGTTTAGTGGAGGGAATTACCTGGCGGCCCAGTGGTTAAGACTTTGCCTTCCAATGCAGGGGGTGTGGATTCAATCCCTGGTCAGGGAGCTAAGATCCCACATGCCTGGGGGTCAAAAAACCGAAACATGAAACAGAAACAATTTTGTAACAAATTCAATAAAGACTTTAAAGAGGGACTTCCTGGTGGCGCAGTGGTCGGGAGTCTGCCAGCCAATGCAGGGGGCATGGGTTGGAACTCTGGTCCGGGAAGATCCCACATGCCACAGAGCAACTAAGCCCATGTGCCACAACTACTGAATCTGCCCTCTAGAGCCCGTGAGCCACAGCTACTGAGCCTATGTGCCACAACTACTGAAGCCCGCATGCTTAGAACCTGTTGTCCGCAACAAGAGAAGCCACCGCAATGAGAAGCCCGCGCACCACAACAAAGAGTAGCCCCTGCTCGCTGCAACTAGAGAAAGCCCGCTCACAGAAACAAAGACCCAGTGCAGCCAAAAATAAATAAATTTTAAAAAAAATGTTAAAAAATATAGTTTAGAGGAGTCGCAGGAAAGATCGGAACTTCACCAATCTAAGATAATCAAAGGAAGTATGCACATCAGGTGTATGGAAGGTTTCATAGAAGAGCTATGGTCTTTTTCGTCAGAGTCACACAGATTAAGAGAGGGCTTTTTAAAAAAAAAAAAACAGCTAAAATGTATTTGAAATTTGCCACTTTCTCTGTTTCTTTTCCAATGTTCTTAAGCTCATGAAAGCAATAATTCTAGAGCACTGATTTTCTTTTTTTCCCCCATTCTTTCCCCCTTTTCGCTGGAATCTATTTTATAGACGGCTCCAAGGTTCAGGCTTGTCAACGTAGATTTGTTCCGTTCTGTTCTGTGTGTTCTCCTAGGTGTTTACTGTTGCTGTGTGTTTGCTGAAGGTCCCTCCTTCCAGGTTCTCCTTGACCGTCTGGCTTTCTGTCTTTTCAGGGAAGAAGAGCCCGGACCTGGGGGAGTATGACCCCCTCACACAGGCCGACAGCGACGAGAGTGAAGATGATCTCGTGCTTAACCTGCAGCAGAAGAACGGAGGGGTCAAGAACGGGAAGAGTCCGCTGGGAGAAGCACCAGAGCCCGACTCGGATGCTGAGGTCACTGGGGCTGGGAAGCCCCATCTCTCGGAGGTCACCACGGAGGGGTACCCCTTGGAGCCCCTGGGGGCCCTGGAGCAGAAGGCGGCCTCCTCCATCGCGTCCTACGTGCGCACGTCTGTCTTTCTGCTGATGCTGGTCATCTCCATGGTCCTGGTACTCGTGTGTGCCTTCCTGATCCCCTGTCCCCCCCGAGACCTGCACAGCACGTGGAGCCGCCACTTGGGCCCCCAGGGAGGTGAGCTGCGGGATTTTTAGCTCTAAGTCTGTAAAACTTCATGATCGCGTGTCATTCCGGCAAGCTTCTGATTACGTTGAAAATTTCCTCCAAGTCTTTACAAATTAACGTGTGTGTCATCTAGCATTTCTCCCCCTGTGTGTGGAGGTGGTTAGGAGGTTAGGATTTGAAATGAGACAGAAAGATGGATCTGTATGGCTTCAAAAACTTGGGAGGATCGCTGCGCTGTGTGTCTCTGGGGAAGGTCTTAATTAGACGCAGGGAGGAGAGAACCCTGGTTTGCTGAGTCCTGCTGTGCAGCCGAGCCTGCATCAGGGGAGAGCAAAGCTGTGGGAAGGGCGGTTTACAGAGAAAAGTGAAGCTCCCATCCTGGCCAGGCCAGAGGCCACAGCTCCTGTAGGGCCCTTGGGGTTTTGTTGATTGTAGAAGCCTGATCTAAATTGAATTTTCAAATAATTTCTTTTTCTTAATTTTCTTTTTCTTTTTCTTTTTTATCGACGTATAGTTGACTTACAGTGTTGTGTTAGTTTCTGGTGTACAGCAAAGTGATTCAGTTTTGTACACATCTTCTTTTTCATATTCTTTTCCACTATGGAAAAGATTTGTTACAGAATATTGAATATAGGTCCCTGTGCTAGACAGTGGGACCTTGTTGTTTATCAAATAATTTCTTTTCAAGGAAAAGAGAGTTGCTTCCTTGCTGCAACTTTTCTTTCTTGCTGCTAATGGTTGGGATGGTGCTACCCAAGGAATTTTGGAGCAGGTTTCTTTATTTTTTATTATTATTTTTTTTACTGAATGAAAGTCTTTAAATTTTACCATACTTTCCAATTTTCAAAAGTTTCACACACATGATTTCTTGTAAATCCCTTTTTTGTAATCCCCTACCCCTGCATTGCCCCTCCTCCTTCCCTCTCCCCACTGGTAACCACTAGTTTGTTCTCTGTATCTGTGAGTCTGCTTCTTGTTATATTCAGTAGTATGTTGTATTTTTGAGATTCCGCATATAAGTGATGTACGGTATTTGTCTTTCTCTGTCTGAGTTAGTTCACTTAGGATAACACCCTCCAAATCCATCCATGTTGCTGCAAATGGCAAATTTTCTTTCTTTTTTATGGCTGAGTAGTATTCCACTGTATATGTGTACCGTATCTTCTTTATCCATTCATCTGTTGATGGACATGTAGGTTGTGGAGCAGGTTTCTTTAAAACAGCTTGCCCTGGGTCAAGATTGGGGATCCCATCTAACTGTTGGTGCCGAACAGTCCTGTCCCTCGAAAACTGCACCAGGCTGAAGGGGCTCAGAACACACCAGCCCACCGTGGCGCTTTGGTGTATTGACTATTTTGAGTTAAAGGCATTTGACCAATAGCAGGTGCAAGCGGGCCACTCTGACCTTCGATTCTTCCCAAAAGCAGGAGATGAAACTCCCAGGTGAAAGATGTCCTCCCTATTCCAGGAGGAAAGAACACTCTTATCACCAGAGACAGGGGGTTGAGGCAGAGAGACATTTGTACAAACAGACCTTGTTAGAATAACCCTCATCTTCCTGTAGTTCCCTCATATATTTTAGTTACTTTTCCAGTCGCCACTCTTTGTGCTATGCGGAATATAAACACTGCGGCTTAGCCACGTCTTTGGGTCTTCATTTAACTGTGGGAACTCCCATGCACATGCACAATTTTATTAAATAAAATATGAGTGCTTTCCCCTTGTTCATCTGTCTTACGTCAGTCTCAGCTAGAAACCTTAAGAAGGCAGAGGAAAACTTTTCCCTTCCCTACGGTATGCCCACACCCCTGCATCATCTTGATCTAGAAACATTTTCTCTCTGACCCTTCTCTGATCCCAGCTGAATTAGCTTCTGATGAGTTCTTCGTTCTCATCTTTACTTTCTCTTAAGGCAAAACTGGGTGGATATGTCTTACGATATGTTCCTACACATAGAATGTCTCTCCCTCTCTTCCTTCCTTTTTTGTTTTTTCTAAGTTAGCTCTTGTAATATTTATATACAGCGTAAAGACTAGTAATGAATTCTTGGTGTATCTACCACCGAGTTTAAGAAATAGGACCTTGTAAAGATCTTTGCAATTCCCCATGTGTTGCTCCTGACCGTATCCCCCTCTCCCTGCCAGAGGGTTCTCCTCTCCTGAGTTTTGTGTCGTTATTCCTTTACTTGTGTTTAAAGTTTTACCACATAGATATGCATCTCTAAATGATATATTCTTTAATTTTGCCTGTTTTTGAATTTCATATAAATATTGATATAACCATGTAGTTGTCTGTGACTTGCTTTTTTGTTCAGCGTATTTAAATAATATGTTTGAGGTTTATCCGTATCAATGTACTGTCACTGGAGTTTATTTTCACCACTAATTTTCCATGGTACGAATGTCCTATGATTTATCGATCCACTTTATTGTCGATGAGCATTTAGGTGACTTCTGTTTTTTAAAAAATAAGTAATGCCACAAAGAAGATTCTTGTGCATGTTTCCTGTTGGAGTGTGTAAGGATTTCTCTAGGGCGTAAACCTGGGGGTGAAATGGCTGGGTTACAGGATATGTGCATGTCCAGCCCTAGGAGTTTCTCTTAAATTATCTTCCGTAGTGGTTGTACCAGTTTACACTTCCACTAGCCATGTGTGAGTTCTCTCCGAATTTGGAAAGCATCCTCTGACTCCACACTGTTTGGAGGTGTGTGTGGGGGGGCATGACACTACCTACCTTGTCACTGCCGGGTGGAGATGGAGGTGCAGGCTCCCATCAGGCCTCTGCTGACACCAGGGCTGGGCGGCTGCCCCGTTAATGCTTGGTGGGGATAGAACCGTAGGCTTCCCTCGTGTATGGAGGCCTGAGTGCTGCTAGGTGGGGATGGGAGCCCAGCCTCCCCACCCGGCCTTCTCTGACCTGACCCTGGTGGGGTGAGAGGGACCTTGTTACAGCCCGGCAAGGGTTTCCTCTTGGCCTTTGCTATGGGGCTGGCTGGGACCACAGTTTTGTCTGTGGCGTTTGGTTGGAGTAGAGCAGTTGTTGTGGAAAACTTTTCTGTCTTGCTAGGCTGTGCCTTTCCTGTCCTTTGGCTGGGGACCAGCTCTTCTGGGGCCTTCTGTGTGTCCCTGTTGGCATTTCTGGGTCGCCAGCTTCTGCAGCACCCTGTCTGGGATATGAGGCCAAAGAAAACCCAGGGGAGCCACCAGCTTGTCCTTCCTTGGGTCTCGCCATCCCCAGCCGGTCTGCCTTCTCTCTGCCTTCCAGAGTCTTCTCATGTTTGTTTTATGTTTAATGCCCAGGGATTCTAGCTGTCCTTGGCGAGAGGCACAGGCAGAAGTGGGTCTGTGTATCTTATCTAGGACCCAGAAGTCTGCCTGGTTTTTACGGAGCATTCCCTTTCCAGCCTGGAGCAGGGAGCTGGTCTGTCTAACTTGCTGCGGACCCTGTGTTTCTCATGTGTCCATCAGGTGGGGACCTGTCTCCACTGGACCTGGCAGACGTGAACGGAGACGGCCTGCGTGACGTGCTTCTCTCCTTCGTGACATCAGGGAATGGGAGCACCGCTGGTAAGAGGGTGTCTTCGGAGGCCTCGGCGGGAGAAGCTGGTTGAGCGGAGGGTGTGAGCTCAGAGGATGCGCTGGGGCTGCCTCCTGAGCGGGCTGCAGTGAGGAGAAAGCCCTGGGGGATCCGGCACACGTGATGGGCCTCGTCGGGAGACTCCTGCATGTACATAACGCCTGGTTCAGGGAATCACAGAGCATGAGAGCTGGAGGGCACCCCGGTCCAGGGACCAACCTGAGACCCAGGGAGGAGGTTCCTTGGCCGCACGCCTGCCCTGAACAGCGCCAGCACTTAGGTTGCTTGAGTTTTCTCTGAGTCGGTTCTCCCTGGCCTCTTAGATGATGATAAACATAGACTCTATCTACCTTCCCCTCCCTGGCAGAAAGCTTTTGCTCACGTTCTAACGTATCTTTATACACATACCTCTTGGCTGGGTGTTTTCCTTTGACCCCGTCTGTTTGCTTTTCCATCTCTGCTCTCCATCCTGCTCCCCGCGGGATGGGAGGCTGACCCGTACGCATTACGTCAGGTCCCAGGCCTGCAGACTTCCACTGGGTTTGGCCATTGGGGAGCACAGGCCAGAAGCTAGAGGAGAGGAAGAGAGTGACCAGCAGGTATTTATTCCCCTGGCTCCCCTCTGCCCGGGCCACCTCAGGCTGGCTACATCCTTGATCAGAGGTCACAGCCTCTCTCAAGGTGGTCCTCTTACAGGACTTCCTTTTTCTCGATTCCAGCAAATGCTTCCTCCCCCTGTCTCTTTGGGCCTGGGCATGGCAAAAGTTCTGAGGGGCTGTACTATCTCTTGTGGTTTCCCTACACCTCGACCACATCTTTGTAAACAGTCTCTTTATTAAACCTCCACAACTTACCCTAATTGAGTGAGCTGGGCTTTTTTGGGACCCCAGCCGACACAAGTCAACTGCAACAAAAAAAAAAAAAAAAAAAAGTTGCTTTTTCATTATAGGTACATGGGGGCTTTTGGTTTGTCCTGCAGCCTCCATTTAAGTGCATTTGAACTGAAGTCTGTAAACTGATACAGGAACTCTGGTTTGAGGCTGAGGATGGCCTACCAACTGTTTTTTAATCATTCAGGCCTTGGAATAAACATTTAGGTACGTTATAGAGGATTCTAGGCTGCATGCCTCCCTGACGTTATTAGAAATACCTTTCTGGGGCTTGCGCAATATGCAGGAGCAATTTGGGCATAGCTTTGTTTATGGGAAGAACCTCCAGCCTAGAAATTGACTTTTATATGATTGAACCTTACTTATGCCTATGACTTATTAGCCTTTGAAGTAAAAATTTCCCCCTTCCACTTTCAGAGATTTTTTTCAGTCATTTGATATTTTACGTGGTTTGCTACATATCAGGACTCATGATGGCAAGGCCATGAGTTGGGACGCACTATGGACCAGCCTGATTTGGTTATAGATTATAAAAGCAGTAATAGCACTAACTAACACATGGTACTTTGTATGTGCTATGCACTGTTGTAAGTACATAACATATTATGAACGAATTTATCCCTCAGTGTACCTATAATGTGGACTAATATTATTATCCCCTTTTGCAGTTGGGAAAACTAAGGGATAGTGAGGTGAAGGAACTTGATCAGTCTCACAGCTGGTAGTGGTAGAGCTGGGATCCAAACGGTATAGCCGGTAGCCTCTGGAGTTCCTGCCCTTGACCCTTATGTCAAATTGCTGTGCCCATAGCCCCAGCCAGTGGGTTCAAAGATCTGTGCCACTGAACATGAGGAGGATTGTGTTTCTTATTTGTTTGTTCATTTGTTCATTCATCCAACAACCTGCTGTGCACCTTACATAGAGCTGCACTGGTTCTTTTGAGCTAAACAAGAGGAGCGTGGTCTCTGCCTCATGGAGTCGTGGTGTGAAGGGAAAGGGGTGACCCATCACCACCGGGAAAAAGACAAGTCACGCAATTGATGTGGAGTCGATAGGGTCATGAAGGAGGGAGGACAGCACAGTCTGTTAATCAGAGCATCCCTGGGAAGTCCGGGGGGTAACATACATCGCTGAGATTTGTCATGTAAACCGCTGCTTCTGGCAACAAGGTCTGAAAGGGGAAACCAGTTGGTCACTTGTTTTTAGGTTGTATGTTTAATTAGCAGTTCTGAGGAATAGGTACAGTGAAGCCCTAACATGCCCTTATCCTTATTAGCTGTTGCTAGAAGTGAAAAGTGGAAGTGTGTGAGGTGGGCCGTATCCCTATCCTGAAAGTGGATGTGAAACTGGCACGAGAGAAAGTTATTATTCTGATAGGTTAATTGAGTGGCATAAAGGGTTGTTTGTTAAAGAGGTGAGCTGCTCGAATCCTTTGCCAGCTAGGTATAATAGTTGCCCAAGTATTCTTTCTTGACTGGGGCCAGATCAGCTGATTCGCTGGAACTCTAGACCAGGAGGACCTCCTGATCTTTGCTAAGTATAACCTTCAGGGTTTTTTGTTTGTTTGTTTCACTTTTTGGCTGTGCCACTCGGCTTGTGGGATCTTAATTCCCTGACTAGGGATCGAACCCATGCCCGCTGCATTGGAAGTATGGAGTCTTAACCTCTGGACCGCCAGGGAAGTCCCCAGGTTTATTTTATTTATTTATTTATTTATTTAACATCTTTATTGGAGTATAATTGCTTTACAATGGTGTGTTAGTTCTGCTTTATAACAAAGTGAATCAGTTATACATATACATATGTTCCCATATCTCCTCCCTCTTGCGTCTCCCTCCCTCCCACCCTCCCTACCCCACCCCTCTAGGTGGTCACAAAGCACCGAGCTGATCTCCCTGTGCTATGCGGCTGCTTCCCACTAGCAATCTATCTTAGGTTTGGTAGTGTATATATGTCCATGCCACTCTCTCACGGTGTCACAGCTTACCCTTCCCCCTCCCCATATCCTCAAGTCCATTCTCTAGTAGGTCTGTGTCTTTATTCCCGTCTTGCCCTTAGGTTCTTCATAACCTTTTTTATTCCCCAGGTTTATTTTTTAGAGATTGTTTTCTGCTCTCAGGGAGCATTTGCTAGCGATGATTAGAATTCAGGTACTTTGCTTCCTGCTCTATACATATTCTAGATCAGTGTCAATTTTCTGAGCCTAGCTTTGCTTCCTGCTTTTTTGTTTGTTTGCAACCCCTCCTTTTCCATATTCTTGATGTTGCTCCTTTTATTCAGAAAGCACTTGGCTGCTAGATATGCTCGGCGCTTTGCAAAGTACTGAGGATGCAGAAATGAACGTGACGGGCTTTAGCCTTAAGGATATCCCTGTTTAGTGGGGGCTAAGGTGACAGACACGTCAACAAGTGTGTTGGGAGAGTAGAGGTGCACACGGGTTGCCTGCAGGATGTCGTCTTACATGAGAGATGTGTTGAACAGATGTGACAGGTACTCTGTTTGCAGACCTTGTTGCCAGAAATACAGGAGGGAGCTGAGCGCACAGGTCTGAGCTGCTGCCTTACCTCTATTTCCTTTTGGTTTTCTAGCCCCCCGCTCATCTCTCCCTCTTATCTCCTCTGCCTCCTGCCCTTTCTTGTCTCTTGTGTGCTTTTAGGTGTCTCAAGGTCACCTGCTGTCCTCGTGTGCCTTTCGGGGATGAATGGCAGTACGCTCTGGTCTAGTCCCCTCCCCGAGGAGGCCCGAGATATTACCTGTCTGGATCTAATGCCAGGGAGAGTGGCCGAAACCGTCTGCCTTGTGACGGGGACACACAAGATGCTCAGTGCATTCAACGCGACATCAGGTAAACATCACTGACTGCGGGGCTTCTCTGGTGGCACAGTGGTTGAGAATCCGCCTGCCACTGTAGGGAACACGGGTTCTTGCCTGGTCCGGGAAGATCCCACGTGCCGCGGAGCAGCTAAGCCCGTGCGCCACAACTAGTGAGCCTGTGCTCTAGAGCCCGCGAGCCACAACTACTGAGTCCGTGTGCCACAGCTACCGAGTCCGCGTGCCACAACTACTGAAGCCTGCGCGCCTGGAGCCCGTGTTCCGCAACAAGAGAAGCCACCGCAATGAGAAGCCCGCGCATTGCAACGAAGAGTAGCCCCGCTCGCCGCAACTAGAGAAAAGCCCGCGCGCAGCAACGAAGACCCAACACAGCCAAAAATAAATAAATTAAATAAATTAAAAAATAAAAAAAAAAAAAGATCACTGACCACGAGAGATCCCTGTTCCTGGGAGGCCTAATCTCAGGTTAGAACAGTCTGGTAGGGAAGGGACCGTTCCACTCTCCCAGTGGGAGGTCTGATTTCCTGCTCTGCAAGGTGGATATTAAGGGAAATAAGGAGAAAGGGCTTGAGCAGAGTGAATAATAGATCCATGGTTCAACCTGCTTGGTGATAGGATGGGGCTAAACTCAGTTATCCAAGCAGAACCTATCCCTAGGCTTTCAGTTTGTAAGTAATCTCCCTTCTCTGTTCTTTGTATAGAAGACCATGGAGCTTTTTCTCTTTGTTTTCAATATTTGACATACAAGGGTTCATATGTGAACTTGGGCATTAACCACTAAAAACTATGCCAGTGAAGAAACTAAGGTCTGTGGAGGCATGTTGATTTGGCCTCTTTTATCTTTTTATCACATTCAGACATATGTGACAAAAGGAACGGAAGAGAATCATATAATGAAGGCTCCTTACAGAGCCTTATACTTCCAGTGTGCCCATTAACCTTCGACCTGAGTGAAGCTGAGTTAAATAGCCTCCTTCCTAGTTGTAAAGGTTGGAGTTTGGGAGTGGGGCTCTTCTGAGTGAAAAGAATTTCCGTGTGAGTTAACTCTAGCACTGAATTCATCTTGAAAACCTTTTATGATTTCTCCACTTATATGAACACATGGTAGAAGGAGCGAGTTGGGCTTCTGTTTGGCTGCCCCTGGATGGTTCCTTAGGAGTTGGAATCATCTCTAACAGATCAATTCCTCCATCCCAGACAAGTGGGCTCTTCTTTCTTAGAGAGTCTTCAGCATGTCCACGTTACCTAAAAAATCCAGGTGTGAAGTTATTACGTGGGCTTGTTAGCCAGATACTTGAGGATTTCAGTTCATACTCCCTGCTCCATTTCTCCCCGGTAAGATAAAAATGAAAGGAAAAAGTGTGTAGGACTTGCTGTCTGTCATTCAGCCCGTTCAGTCTCATTTCTGGCCTGGGAGCATTGCACCCGCCTTTGGCAGAGGCAGAAATCCCTAATTGTGATGAGTGTATTTATCTTTCCCCAGGGAAAGCCATTTGGACTTTAGACCCACACTACTTACCCAACGGTACCCTGGCTGCCCCAGGCGTGGTGCTGCCAGACCTGGATGAAGATGGCATTAGAGATCTCGCAGTTCTGGTCATTGGGGAATTGCAGGTATGCTCCGTGTTAGGTGGTCCTTGTTTCTTACAGGGAAAGTGTCAACTTTGGTCATTTCCTAGTATCGTTATTAGAAACGCTGCTTGAAACCTTCTCATTACAAGGGCTTAGGTTTAAATAAATTCTCTTTGTGAGATTAAGTGAGTAAATTACCATTATGAACCCATTTTCCAGGTTCCGTTGACCGGTGTGGCAGAGCTTGGGAGCCAGATAGGTCTATGTTTGAATTCCTGCTCTACTGCCCTGTGGCCTTGGGCAAACCACAGAGCCCATCCCAGCCCTGGTTATTTCGTATGTAAAGCGGGGATGTTATCCTACTTGCAGGATGGTTATGAAAATTAGAACTAACATATATGAAATGCCCAGAGTGGTGCCTGTTTTCCACCCAGCGTACACATTGTCGGTTTGACTATATATATTTAACTTTTATTGCAACTATAAAACAATGAGACAGACGGATAGAAAGCTCATAAGATATATAGAGAAAAAAATTGTAAGTCAAACAAGTAGTAACAGCAGCGCCCAAAGAAAGAGTCGTTCAAGCTGTGCCTGCAGGTTGTGGTTCTGGTACAGTGGTCCCTAAATTATGCTTCTCAGTTATGCTTTGCTGGAACTCCAGTGACCTGGAACTAGTTATTCTTTGCACAGATAAAATAATAGTAGTTTTGTATTTTTTTTTCCCCGTAAATCACAGGAAAGAATGTATTAATGGACAGAATTATCTCAATTTTAAGTTTTTATTCCTGAAGCTTTTCTCAGAGCTTCTGTCAAACTTTCTCTTAGACTTTTTCTCAGACTGTCTAGTGTGAGTCTGCCAGGAAAGGCTCGTGGACGACAATCAGCCTGGAATATTTGTGGGGAAATGTGGCTACCGATCGTTGTGCCTCATTTGATGGCTTATTTTAATTTTACTAGACCTGGTTGTGATTTTTGTAATGTATATACGGAGTGGAGTTACAGAATCTGCAAGTAAAATTATTTAGAATGGAATTAAACCTATCAGTACTGTATGGTTTTCTGTCAAGAGCACCATAAACTAACTCAGAGAGCTCCACCAGTCACAAGTTTCAGGAGCCCTGCTCTAGTGCCTCAGACGAGACTTTACATTTGTGAGGTGAGAGAAAAGAAGATAGACGGTGAGGGACAATTCCGAAGGCTAGTCGCTTTTAGGGGTCCTTTCTGTTTGTTTTTCTTCAACTGGCCTCAAAGTAGACAACCAAAATGTCAGGAATTCTTCACATAATCTTTTTTCATTCCAGTCACTGTGAATAAAGAGACCTGGGAGTAGGGAACATTTTAATGATTACATCCATCAGGGAGTGATTCTCAGAAGGTCCCAAAGTGGAAAGTATGGGGAGTTTCTTTTTTCTTTAATTTAATTTTTATTTTATATTGGAGTATAGTTTGTTTCCAGTGTTGTGTTAGTTTCAGGTGTACAGCAGAGTGATTCAGTTATACATATATATTATATCCATTCTTTTTCAGATTCTTTTCCCATATGGGTTATTTTTTTTAATCTTTATTGGAGTATAATTGCTTTACAATGGTGTGTTAGTTTCTGCTTTATACAAAGTGAATCAGCTATACATATACATATATCCCCATATCTCCTCCCTCTTGCGTCTCCCTCCCACCCTCCCTATCCCACCCCTCTAGGTGGTCACAAAGCACTGAGCTGATCTCCCTGTACTATGTGGCTGCTTCCCACTAGCTATCTATTTTACATTTGGTAGTGTATATATGTCCATGCCACTCTCTCACTTCATCCCAGCTTACCCTTCCCCCTCCCCGTGTCCTCAAGTCCATTCTCTACATCTGTGTCTTTATTCCTGTCCTGCCCCTATGTTCTTCAGAACCTTTTTTTCTTAAATTCCATATATATGTGTTAGCATATGGTATTTGTCTCTCTCTTTCTGACTTACTTCACTCTGTATGACAGACTCTAGGTCCATCCACCTCACTACAAATAGGGGAGTTTCTTTCTAAAGGAATTATGGTTGTTAGCAGAAGCATAGCAAGACAGTGAACAGGTTTGTGTGTCCCGAACAAGTTTAAAAATCTTGGCCTTGACATCACATCTGTCTTCTAGCCAGCGGTGGTGGACGGGATGACAGTTCAGGTCTGACTGAGGGACCCTCCCTAGCAAGGGGGCTCTGTTACAGGAATGGCTTCTCACCTGCTTCTACTCTGTGCCTTTTTTGGTGGTGGAGGGAGGGGATATGGTGGTGGAGGGAGGGGTATGGACTAGTCTCCATTCTGCCTGGAAAGTGATAGGCAAGACTAGAAAAATCTTGGAGAAGTGGTGGGTTCAGAGCAGTAGCTTCATCTTCATACTGACTTTTCTGACCTCTATACCAGCAAAAAAGAGCCTGAGGAACGTGTTTGCTCTGAGCTGCAGATGTGGAAGGAGGAATGAGACGTATTACGTCTATGATATAGAGGGGCGGCATTCTTAGATCTGGGGCTGGAGTGAGGCGGGCTTGGGACACCTGGACATGGTTGGGGTTAGAGAACAGATCTGGGCTAGCATGTCAGTGGGAAGGGACCTTAGAGGCCATGAAGTTAACCCTCTCACACTGTGCTACAGTCGCTGATACACTGTTCCAAATACATTGGCACCCATTCCCTCTGAGTCCTCAGGCTGATGGCAATAGTGCTAATTTGTGAGACAGTCCATTTTGTTCCCGGCCCACTCTAGAAAATTCTTATTGGTGAGAAATCTGCTTTCTCATAGCTTCCATTCATGGTGCCGGCTTCAGCTCCATAGAATACTCTGAATCTAATCCTCTTTCTACATGAAAGCCCTTTTGCTGGAAGCCTGGTCCCTCTAAAGCCTGCTATTCTCAAGGCTAAACAGTCCCAATTTCTCACACTGTGCCTCATGCAAATGATCCAGACCCCTCTCTTTCTCGATTTCTTTCTTTTTTCACTACACTTCGTCCGTACCTCTTTTATAATATGGTACCCATAAATGAAAACAGTATTCTATTTGTAATATAACCAGTTATATCAACATAAGGAAATTGTTGCTTCTTTTGATATAGACTCTGTTTATCTATAAATGCAGCCAAAGGCTGTGATAGCCTTTCTAAGAATCAGTTTTTGTTTATAACCTGTTAAAATACCCACGTCTTTTTTCCCTACTTCTTTCATTTTTTTCCTTCCAGTTTTATTGAGCTATAATTGGCATACAGCACTGTATAAGTTTAAGGTGTACAGCACAATGATCTGACTTACGTGCATCGCGAAATGGTGACCACAGTAAGTTTAGTGAACATCCATCATCTCGTATTGATACAAAATTAAAGAAATAGAAAAAAATTTTTCCTTGTGATGAGAACTGTTAGGATTGACTCTCTTAACTTTTGTATATAATGTACAGCAGTGTTAATTATGTTTCTCATGTTGTGCATTATATCCCTAGTACTTATTTATCTTATAAGTGGAAGTTTGTACCTTTTGACAGCCTTCATCCAATCCTCCCTCCTACCATCCTTCCCTCTAGTAACCACAAATCTGATCTCTTTTTCTATGAGTTTATTTGTTTTTGAAGTATAACTGACCTACAGCACTGTGTTAGTTCCTGGTGAACAGCTTACTGATTTGATATTTCTGTACCTTTCAAAATGATCACCACGATAAGTCTTGTTACCATAAAATACCCACATCTTAATTAATGGCCTAATCTTTTCTTCCAGATTTTGATCCATCTTCCAGTCTAAGACTTTTTGGAATTTTGAGTCTGTCAAACAGCATATTACCTATCGCTCTCAGCTTTGTGATAAACTTGAATTCTGTTCATTCAGGTCTTTGATAAGAATGATTAACAGGAATGAGATAATAGCTGGGTGCTGTGCCATTCCACTGAAACCTCCCTCTGGGTTGGCATTGGCCCTTTCTCGGGGTACACTGAGAACCACATTTCTTTATCTTGTCCATAAGAATTCATGATGATAAACTCTGTCAACAGCTTTACTGAAGTCAAGATACCGATGTAGTCCTTATACTTCCCAACCAGTGACTTTATTCCCAAAAGAAAATCCTCTAGCGCAGGGGTTGGCAAACTATGGCCTGCAGTTTGTTTTCATAAAGTTTTATTGGGACGCAGTCACGCAGTCATTCATGTATTATCTATGGCTGCTCTCACGCTAAAGTGACAGAGTAGAGTAGCTGCTATGGAGACCATCTGGCTGGCAAAACGTCACATATGTACTGTCTGGCACTTCACAGAAAAGGTTTGCGGATCTCTGCTTGATAGTGAGGTTGATGGTGGCCAGGCCAGATGTGTATGTCATGACGGGAGCACACTGCCTGCGCTGATTCTCCTGGGACCAAATGTTACTGGGGATTTCTGGGTATGGGGGTAGAGACCGGGGGTCGGCTGTACTCTGTTTAGCTCTAGGCTAGAGTTCTTTGCCTCAGGAGACCTGAGGCAACAGCTGTGCTTTGGAGAACTTGCCCGAGCTACCATCTAACAAGGGAACGGGGCATTTGCCCCACTTTCTAACTTCCAGGGAAGTAGAACGAAGTGGGCTTGGCTTTGGGTTTTCCAACTTTGGGAGGTGTTTCTGACCTCTTAGCTAATGAGGAAGCAATGACTATCTAGAGAAACGATTTGATTTGGAAACGATAAGGCGTCTATGGATTCAACACCCGTCTTTCACTTCGTCAGCCAGATCTGTGCTTCCTGCTGGTGTCTGGCCGGACGGGGAATCCCGTGGGCCGACCCGTGAAGTACAACATCGTCGGAGTGGGGAACCTGATCGGCCCTCAGGTTTACATCACCACCAACGGGGCTGCCTACATCCTGTTTGGCTTTGGTAAGAAGCAAGGCTCATTTTTGCTACTGTCCCCATGGGTGTATGGTGAGGCCCTCCTTATGTGATGTAGAGAAAGCCTGGAGTCAGAAAGCCTGGAGTCACTGACACCAGCCCTCTGTCACCTCCTCTGCCCGGGCCCCCTGCGGCGGGGCATTCACTCTTCTCCAATGAGAAGCTCTGCCCAGCGTCCACTTAAGCACTTCCCCACTCGTTCCCTGCTGGGCCGGGCAGGCTGTGTTGGACCCATCCACCTGCCCAGGCTCTGGGTCTCTCACTCCCATCCTCACCCTGGGAAAATGCTGTAAAGTTCACCTTCTCCGTATTGGTTCTTCTGTGCTGCTAGGAAATATCCAGGCTGTCGCCCTGCGGGACATTTTTGTTCAGGCCCAAAATCGAGACAGCTTACCACCTTCCCTGCAGATAGACGAGCCCGAGTGGGAGAGGCGGAGATCCATCAACCTGTCTGAGCTCATTGACATTTACAGGTGGGCAGCTGTCTGGCCCCGTCACAGTGAAACCGAGTCATTGTCTGGTTGGGCTGGTGAACACGTGGGCAGACGTTTGTGGGGGAAACAGTGCTGGCCTTCATATACCACCTTCTGACCTGGTTAAGGGGAGTTACAAGGGCTTTTCTCTTGGTGACATGAAGCGTTGACGTCTACGTGTGGGTGACCATGGCGTGTGATCACTTCGCACCTGGGCGGCAAAGAAGGATATTTGTTTGGCGTGGCAGTCAGAGCAGGGCAGGGTGAGACTGGGGAACCGCAGGCAGGGAGATAGATTTATTTAGCACAACTGCTTGTAAAACTGCTGAAGGATCGGCCTTACTCTTCGCCCGTATTTTTCTCTTAGTTGAAGAATCACTTTGGCAGAAGCAAGGGCAGCATCCGTGAAATCTTATTTTTTTTCTTGTTTATTTCTTAACTAAAAGCATGTTGTTTGTTATCTGCCGTGGATTTTACTCATTTCACCCCAGGCCTGGGTAATAATTGTCTTTGTTCTTTTCCTCCCAGAAGCTTCAAATCATTTTCTAGCATTTTCTCAGGCAGTATCACATTGTGTCAGTGCATTTGACAGATGTTACATAGAGTGGTCCCGGTTGTACAGAGGGAGAAGTAATTGGATGCAGTGTACAGCGTGAGCAGCTGTCCCAGCTTAATGACAGTTTCAAGCATCCTGTCCCGACCTCCGGCCCCTTCCCTGCCACTGTCCTCAGCTCTGTTATCTTTCCCAGAGCATCCAGTGTGAGATGCACTTCTCCTGTCAGTTCCTTCTGAACTTGCCTGAATTTTCTAGGGCTCCTTGGTTTCTACAGAAACCAAGAAAAGGAGATTCAACTGGAATGGCAGAGCGCCCTGCCTGACAAGACACTGGTGGGAGACAAACGCAAGGGTCTATACAAACATGTACGCCAAGAGGAAAAGCCCAAGTAAGCAGGGCAGGAATCTCATCCAAGCCTGAGACTAACTGTCGGGGTCTTGTTTAACTCAGCGATGGGGTGGAGCTCCTCCAGACGGTGAAGGTGCCGGGTTCCAACAGCAGCAACCTCCTGATCACAACCAGCCGAGGCCTTGTTCTGCTCCAGGGGCAAAACCTCACACCTTCCTGGACCTTGAGCCTCCAAGGCCTGCGCAGGTTGGCAGTGTGCTCCTCACGTCTGCTTTTTGTTCCACTTGCCCACGTTGCAAAATCACCCAGAATGATTGCTCGATATCTGGGGCTAGTGCAAGGGAAGGGGGCGGGAAGGAGTGAGGTTCTCCTCTTTTTCTCCTTCACTTCTGGTCACTCACGTCGTTGTCACTTGCAGCCAGCCTACTCCTGGGTATTTCACGGATGACGAGACGTTAGACTTCCTTCTGCAGATACCGAATGGAGTTGGGCTGAAAAAGGTAAAACCTGGGGACTCAAGATCAGTCAAAACATATATCCAGTATAAACTTGGTGTCCAGCCCTGCGCTAGGCATCGTGAGAGATAAAGAGAACCTAAAGTATGGTCTCTTCCTTCAAAGAGCTCCAAGTCTAGCAGAATGGATGAAATGAAAAGTCACAGTGCATTGCTAAACTCTACAGCATCAGAAGCTTTTTTAGCTGCCCTCCTTCCTGTGCAGGAGTTCATTCTGGATTCTCAGTGTACAGGAGCCTTCTGAAGTCTCTTGATGGGGAAAGGCAGGTATAAATAAATGTACTACTTCAGTACACGTACTCTTAGATTCCACAGAAGGTGGGCAAGCCGGGGTGTCTAGGCTGTTACGGAGGACTTCATAAAGGCGGGGAAGGTGAGCAGAGCCTTGCAGCTGAACTGTGTTTCTGGAGGAGGGTGGGCAGGCAGGCAGGGGCAGGGGCTCCAGCCCCCTGAGATAGACGGTAGGGTGTGTTCCAAGGACACACATAGGTCATTCTGATTTTACGTCAGGTTGTACATTGTGAGGATTTGATGACTGGATAGACAGTTTTCATTCCTTTAACATTACAGGCAGAATTCGAGTTTTTAAAATTTCTTTTTTTATATAATCGACTGAGCGTTTTGGTTTATCTTCAGCATGAAATATGGATTTATATACGATTGTACCCTGTTCCCTGAGAGTGACTTCAGCAAACACTTAATCATTGCCTCTCATGTATGCCAGGTTCTGTGCCAGGTGCGCAGACGATGGCTGTGGAGACACAGCATCAATGAGAACAAGCCACTGCCTCGTGTGGTTCAGTCACTGGGGTGCCTGTACCTCGGACGTCGTGGTGAGTGCTGGAACGGAAGTTCGCACGATGCCACAGGGACGTGGGGAGCAGATGGAGGGAAGGGTGTCGAGAGATGCTTCCCGTCATTTGGGCGTTAGATGTGCGGAGTCACGAGAGCAGAGAAGAGGTTTGCTGGATGGATATAGGAGGCTGGGCAGAGGGGCCTTCCTAACAGAGTGGTCAGGACGCGCTCAGCTGCTGGAGGGCCTGAAAGCCAGGCCGCGGAATTCAGATGAGACGTAGAGCCTAGTGTTATTCAGTCATGAGTAGGGGACAGATCCGAGGACACAAGGACCACTTCGGGGAGAGTCTTCAGGCAGTGCTAGACAGGAAGGAAGCAGTGTCTGAGTGTGTTTCAAAGATGATTCAGGTAGAGACTGAAATGTCCGTTGGCTTTCCCAGCAGGATGAAGGAGGAAGGGTACATATGGGTTGGTTTAGAGCTGAGATGCTGAGGGTTCAGGCTTGGGCTTTAGTCCCTGACTCCACTACTAATTGGTGACCGTGGGCAGATGACACAGTCTCACCCAGCTGTAGTTTCTGCATCTGTGAAACGGGAGTAATAAGACCACTTGCCTTCATAGGGTTGTCGTGACGGTTAAATGGAATAATATGTGTCACTGGCTAAAGTGTTTTAGTGCAGTGTCTCTAGACTTCTTTTCTCCCCGAGACTAATGAAGGGAATCTTGGACTGCTAGCCTGCTTGCCCTCTGCTTGCTCTCGGCGAAGCAGAGTCTGATCCTGGGTAGAGAACGGCAGGCCCAGGACACTGGGGGCACAGGGAAGGGACTGTCAGGAGGTGCAGGGCAGAGACACTGAGGAGAGAGGCCGTGGAGATGCTGGGGCTGGAGGTGATGGGGGAGTTTCTTGGGGATTTTGGCAAAGGAGAGGCTGTTTTGTTCTAGAACTGTGCGGTGTGAGGTATTTGGGGTGACAGGTGATACAAGTGTTGCTGGGGATTATAAATCTAATCCCCTTAATTATCCCTTGAGAGATGCAACTAAGGAGTGAATTTTTCTCTTAATTTTATGTTTTTGTGCCTATTCAGACTATGCTCTTTTAAATTTGAGACTCCCTTTGGGCTGAGCTGCACCTGCCAGGATGCACACGACAGAGTCAAACTTGTAAAGCTTTTAGCCCAGGGGACGGGACAGAGCTGTCGCCCGAATCACGTTCCCCGTAATCGTAATCGTGGCAGCTGCATCGCTGGAGGGAAGGGATGAGGGTCGGGTTTCAGCCCCTCCACGGTGGGATGGCTGCTCCGGTGGGATGGCTGCTCCGTACGCAGAATAATCAGTGTCACTTCCTGTCCCCGAGCCTCCATCCCCTCATCTGAGGACGCGAGGAGGCCGAGATGACTTACAATGTCCCTTCTCACCTGGGAAGGCTGCAGTCCTTTAGACTCTATCTAGGGTCCTGGGCCTGTTTAGCGCTCTCTGAGCACCCCGTTGTTTGCATCTGGTAAGCTCCGCCTGTTAATGTATGTGGTATTTGCACGTCCGTGGGTTTTTGTTTGGGTGCCCGTGTGTTTTCCGCTGTCTCTCTGAGGATGGCCTGTGCTCACCGTCTTCTCTTTTGCAGGTGATGGTGGTGGATGGGGACTCTGGCATGGTCGCTTGGAGTTACAGCATTCCGTGTCACATGGAAGAAGCTCCGGCCACCTCAGCAGCCGCTGTGGACCAGAAGTCTGTCTTCCTCTTCTGGGCTGAAGGGCTGTCAGCTGCATCGCCCAATCCTGTGAGTGAGCCTGGGAGGGTCCCTCTGTCACTTTGTCAGATGGCAGCAGCTCTCGGGGCTGCCATGCCTGGTCTGCAGTGGGCAGGGAGGGTTTCATGGGGGCTGAGGCTGGGCTTTGAGGTGAATAAGCTGAGATTTCGGAAGTGGGCGGGGCCGCAGGGTGGCAAAGCAGGGGCGGGGGGACGCTGGGCTGAAGGTGAGGGTTCACCTGGGGGATCACGGGAGAGAAGCTCCAATACACGGAAGGCAGGTTTGAGAATGTCTTAAATGCTGTCCTGCAGCACTTTAACGGGGTTGAGGAGGCACGGGGCCACCTCTACAAGGTGCCTGGGGATTTTGAGTAAGACTCACCCTGATTTAGTCCAGTTAAACAGCTGACCAGCACCTACTGTGTGCCAGGGACCTCGGGGTAAACTAGGAACAGTGCTGCCCTCTGCAGGAGAAGACAGATGGTCCCTGGCGATCGGGTAGCCTGACAGAGGGAGAGTCCTGTGCTCCTTAGCCCTGTGCTCTAGGACTTAACTTTTTTGAGTCTCATGCTCTTTATCCGTTAATGAAGATGCTAATATGGTCCCTGGCTTTCGGATCAGATTTCCATAAATGGTTGTCCTAACTCTGCAGTTCCCTGACATGTGAATGTGGGCAATCTACCTAACATTTAACTTCCCGGTTTCCTCCTTTAATAAAATGAGGGGCTCGGATCAGATGACTCTCAAATGTAAGTGTCTATAAATGACCACAATACAAAGGCATATTACCAATGCTGTAATAGAGGTGCACATAGGAAGTTTAGATGGAAGCACAAAGGGAGGGGGGTAGTCATTTTGTTGGGGGCGATTAGGGAGCTTTTCTTGAACAAGGTGGCATCAAGTTGGGGACCTCCAGACAAGAAGTGTTTTAATGTGTGGAAATGGGCTCACGAGGAAGACGTCTAAGGGGGAAATAAGATTGACCAAGGTCAGGTAAAGTCAAGTGAAGCATGTATTTGTTTCACAGATGTTCTTAGAGCGTGGGGTGTATAGGCATATAATCGTAGGAGGCCAAGGAAGGCAGATTGGGGTTGAAAGGCATAAGACCTTGGTTTTCACGCTAAGGAGTTTGGGCACCATGCCATAGGCAGTGAGGAGGGAGTTGGGCTATTTTCTTGTCATGTTAGCTGAGCCGGTGCTGGGATACTGAGGTGTGTGGGAAAGCCCTCTCCTGCTCTGTGACAGTGGTGGGAGGGCACCGCGAGCTTCCCACACACGTGTCCCCTCCCCTGCTGACAGTGTGGAAGCAGGGCTGATACTCACTTCAGTTGTGTCGAGTGGTGGCTTCTCTTGTTGCGGAGCACGGGCTCTAGGTGCGCGGGCTTCAGTAGCTGTGGCTCGTGGGCTCAGTGGTTGTGACTCACGGGCTCTAGAGCGCAGGCTCAGTAGTTGTGGCACATGGGCTTAGTTGCTCCGCGGCATGTGGGATCTTCCCGGACCAGGGCTCGAACCCATGTCCCCTGCACGGGCAGGCGGACTCTCAACCACTGCGCCACCAGGGAAGTCCCTGATGTGCATTTTTTTCTGCTGTCGGGGGTCAGGAGATTGACACTCAGGCCTTGGAATTTTTATATTACGATTAGTGAGTTCTGTTTGGTCCATTCCTGTTTATTTCAGGAACAGATAAGATTTTTGTGATTTTTTTTTTTTAGCCTGACTCTTGTGATTGGCTTCAATATCCAGTGGAAGCAAATGTCTTTGGCTCAATATATATTTTTTTAATATGCAGATTTTGCCTCCATGAAGCCCCCCTGCCTGCTGTCAGGGAAGAACCTCTTCCTAATACTCCGTTGGCACCAGACTGCGAGGGCCCCCATCAGTTTCTGTCCTGGGGCATGCCCATTTCCTTTCTTCCTTTCTTTTTCTTATAAGCGAGAAAGCGTTTTCTAGCTCTAGTGGTTTGAAGAAGTTAGTGTTTAATCAGTGTTTTTTGCTCTTGGAAATGACATGTCTCTCGTATGTGGGAGTTTCTCTCAAACACACCCTCATAGTTGGGATCGCAGGGGATGAGTAATCACCACCGTCTCCACCACCCTTTCATCTGAGTGACATCGTACGCCGGTGTGTGGACTGACCTTTGCTCTCACTGGTGCTTGTTGTCAGGATGTCGTCCTAGGAACCGAGCCACCCAGCCTTCACCACCTGTACCTCCTGCATCCAGCCTTCCCCTCCATTCTTCTGGATCTGGCCAATGCCACCGGCACCGTGACGGCTTCAGAGGGTAAGTCCCAGGGACGGTGGGGTCTGTGTACACAGAGGAGGGGAGCGGATGTGCTGGCTGTGGTGAGGGTGATACCATCGTCCCACCAAGGGGAGGGTGTGTGCCTGCAGATGACAGCAGGACGAGTGCGCCGAGCTGCTCCCGTGCATTTCCCCTGGTGGCCCTGGTTCCCCGGGGCCGTCGCCCGAGTGCGCCCTCCCAGCACCCGGCTCACGGGGTGAGGGCCCGCAGCCTCCAAACATACTGGAAGCTGCGGGGCAGTGTTAGCCCGTCCCCAGGGGTCCACGGAGCTAATGTTTCAGCAGGTGTTTACTGAGCATCAGCCATACACCAGGCGCCGTGCCCGGTGCCGGGAATACAAATCAGACTAGTTTCTCCACCTTGTAGAAGCTTAGGACCTGGAATTCACTGCAAAGGATAAAGCAGAGGCAGGACGTTTCCTCAAGGCATTCGTTTAGGCTCAGTAGAGACTTTCTTTGGACTAAAGTCCACATGACCATCGCATAGAAACTGGCACCAGGAGAAAAAGGGAAAAAGAAAAATCACCCGTAATCTGACCACTCATAACCGCCCTTAACATTTGGAAGTGTTCTACTTTATATGTGCATCTAAATAATATCACAGAGCAAAACTGGGATCACATGTTAGAGACCTGTAATGCAAAGCCCTGGAAAGTCGGCCACCGCAGCTGGTCTGGGATCGTCTGATGGTCCCTTCCTCGGAGGGTCCCGTCCCACACTGGCCTCTGGGAGTCTGCAGTCCTGCTGGGGCCGGCCAGGCCGGCCATGGTTCCTTTCTTTACTTCTTTTCCGTATTCCCTTGCCATTCAGAGACTTGCTGTCTCCTTACAAACTCGTTTGCCTTGAAGGTGAGGTTGCTGCTGTGACTCTGGGCCCACTGGGCTGCACTGGGAAGAACAGCTCATCTGGAACTTGCAAGTACCCCTGCCCACTGGCTTTGTGCGCAGCAGGGCCGCGGTGGGGAGGTGTGAGTTTGCAAAATCCTGTGACTGGATCTAAATGACCTCCTTTTCAGTAGTAGCATAAATTGTTATTCAGTGAACGTTACGTAATGGTAGTTAAGAATCAAGACCATTTTTATTACAATACCTGGTTTATAGATGAGGCAAAATAAACACTGGCTATGTACATAGCTTATGCCACCAGCTACCGACAGTCTAGGAATTCTCAGAATTTCTAGTTTGTTGTACTCACTTTTCTACCAAATTGTCGCCACAGTTGGCCATTCCTCTCCCTTCCTGATCTGGGGCTTTCTTAGAAGTAGCTTCGGAGAAGCACAGGTACAGAGGCTGAGAATTTGCTGCTTTGCACCTCCGGGCACCCATCGTCTAGTCAGTGCCTTGCGTTGATTAGGTGCTCAGTAAACTTCCTCTGTGAATTAGCGAAGGAGGAAATGAGTGAATGAATCCAGTTGCCGAACCAAACCACTCTCCTGTTAGCTGAAGTCTTGTGTCCTTGTTAACTGCTCTTGTTTTTGTCTTTCCTCAGTTGGGATCAACGACCTCTGGAAAGATGCCTTTTATGTTACCAGGACAACAGGGCCAAGCTCTGAAGGGCATCCCGCACCCCTGGTGGTCAGCAAGCTTAGTCTGCGGTGGGCACTGATGGAGGGCCAAGTGGTCCAGCTAAAGGAGACGGCCCCCAAAATTGGCCGCGGGGAGCTGCGAAGATTCCTCTCTAGGATAAAGTTCGTTGACTCTCCCTACCAGGTGAAGAGCTTGTGAAAGAAATGTCTGGTTACTACTGAGGGTTGAAGACACATCATACCAACCCCGAGTCTGCTCTTTAGAAGATTTGGGGAGTGGGAGCCTTCTTGAGTAGCCGGGTATCAGGAAACAGTTATTTTCAACCAGTGTTATTTTGTAAGGGTACTTCATGACCATGAACTACTGCTCAGCTGTTTTGAGCTGGAAATGGTACCATCTCTCTTAGGAGACATTTGGAGGTGAGGGCTCCTGGCTTTTACTGTTACCCCTGGCCTTTTCCGGGTAAGGGCTCATTGTGCCAGCATTGTGCAGGGCTTCTGACAGTTACATACCATGAAGAATTCTCTTACTCAAAATGCAGCGCTCCCTCCCACCCCTCTGAAAATACTACGGTCTAGTTCAGTGTTGAAGAACGTATCATGGAAAAAGGTAAAGTCTCTGGGCCTTTCTGGAGGGACGCTTACAAACCACTGGGGCTAGACAAAAGGACAGGAAAATAGAGGGATGTTCTGACATTTAGGGTCCCTCCATGTCTCTCCCGTGAAAAAAATTAAAGTCATTGATGCTTGCACTCTTCTCCCTAGATCTAGGCTGCTGGAGTCTTCAGTTTCAGAAGAAGTGAACTGAATGGTACCGTCTCTCTCCAGCTGGAGAGGACGACTTCTGTCACCCACTCCGCCGCATCTGCGTGAATGTTGCCAAACACTTTGGAAGGCACTTGGAGGTCTTGGATAACAGCACGATCCGTTTGGCTGGGGTGCTGCCCTTCCAACCCCCTAATTAACCCCTTCTAGGTGTTCTGTGTGGATAGTTTGGAAATGTGAATCTTGTGTTATTTTTTGTGTGTCTAATTTATGAACCCTTGCTGGGAAATTCCAGTGAAGTCCTTCCCTGGAACATTTTGTTGTGCGTTACGCCCTGAGTGTGTATCTGTTGGTGTGGTGATGAAACCTTCTCTAGATAAGTATGTCCTAAGCTCCAGGGACCCAGGTTCTCATCCGTCCGAAACACATCTGGTTGGTTTGGGCCTCTTGAGACTCCCAGATAGCCTACCTCTGACTTGGAGGGCCCCTCAGCATTTCTCCCCTTCGTCTCCCCCTACCTGTACCTCGGCTACAGTAGAGAGAAAGACTGACACGGGGATGGCGCGAGCCACCCAGAATCCTCATCTCTTCCTTGTTTTGTGGCTCCTGTCTCCTCTCTCCTCACATGTTCCTTTGCTCTGTATTCAGTGACCATAACAATAACCCTGTTCCTATCAGAAGGGGAACAGGAGAAGTTTAAACGCCCCACCTCTGACAAGGTCCATAGGTTATGGACGTGGTTCAGGTAGTTCCTCCAGTCACGAGCGTTTTACCGTGGTCAGTTCGGACATGCTCAGGTGTGCACCATCCACAGCTTAGAGGAAAACTCAAGTCAGGAATGCCTGAGGCTGGCAGCCTCGTCCCCTTTATCTCCGCCCTGCTTTCTCAGCATCGTCTCCTAGTGGGCGTCCTCCTTTCTGCCTCTCATTTTGCTTTTTATTCAGGGATATTTTTGCTTTGCTTGCATGAGAGCGAAGCTGTTTCTGGACTTTGGCTCCTCGAGTCCAGCATGCAACCATTCTGCCCTGTACCCTCCCTTCCTTGTAGAGCCTTTGAAGCAGAGTATTTTGAGAATATGTCTGTGTAAATACTATAGCTTTTTATAAATGGAGAAGTTCTTTAGAATTATCTCCAGAGCTTATTTCTTCCTTCTTCTGTATGAATATGTTACTTTATCAGGTTCTCCCCTAAACTTCTAGGTCATTGTTTATATAGCAGACAATCCCACGTTAGCTGGGAGAGAACCGCTGTTCTTCTCAAACAATTTTGATAGGTCATCCCTGAGTGCGCTCGGGTTCTCTCTTTACTTGAGCCCTTGTCTTTTTAGCTTGTGTTACTAAAGAGATTCCAGAAAATCGGGATGCCAGATTTAAAGGGGTATGTCTGAATTGCCCACTGGTAGGCTTTGTGACGTAACCGAAGGTTGGTAGCCGGAGCTGTAAGCAGGCATGTTGCCTGGCCTGTAGACTGGCCTCGCCAGGTTTCTGCCCCCTTCCCGCCTGAAGTCCCTGAAAGCAAATTTGGTTTCAACACTTTGGAAGGCACGTGTGGGTCCAGCTTCTTGTGAACTTGGGAGAACAATTAGGACACACCCAAGAGCCTGGGATTGATTTCCAGATTCACTTCTAGGGTTTGAATCTGCCTGGGCAGAAGGGCGTAGGATCTAGTTCAGTCTAGCAGAGAAGCCTAAGGCCTGATTCATAGTCAACCGAATACCTGAAGCCTGAGTGGCAGCCTGGGCTGGGCCACCTCGTTCTCTACCACGTGGAGGCTTTCAGGGCTGCCAGCCACTTTAGGCAGGAGTCAAACGCAAAGTTGTTTACGGAGGATCTGGTTTGGGAGGACTGTTGGGGGCAGGAGACTATATTTATGCTGGGCGAGTCCCAGAAACACCTAAGCAGCAGCTAGGGAAAACAGCGGCCCTAAATTCTTTGTGGTGTGTTTGCAGACTAACTTCACATAGATTGTTTGGTCTCTGATCAGTTTGAATCTCTCTTGCTAAACACAGGACACAAGCTCTAGGTTTCTTCTTCCTCCTGCAGCCGGTACAGGGGGAGTAAATGGCGGCTGAAGATCGAGGAAGCTTCACCTGATCGGTGTGGGTGCTGGTCTCGTCCAATGTGTCCCTAAACTTCCTTCTCCTCGCAGGCAACCCCCCAGCCAGACGTCAAAGATAGGAAGTGCTCTTCTCTTTCGGGGTTGCCAGCAGAGCCAATCAAGCGCTACTTAGAAAGAGGATTGGCTTCAGTGAATGCCGGGGTGTTCCTTCTCCCAGTCTCTCCTCTTTCCTTCCCGTGCAAGCCCTCTACCCTAGACGACATCCTCCCACCCCCAGAGGGACTCTGCTCCCCCTTCTAGTGTGGTACCCCCCACCTCGACTGTGAATGGCCGCCCTTACTGCTTGTGTTAGAGAAGAGCCGGCTGGTACGTTGTCGGGAAGCGCTGTTTAAAATGTGAATCGTTACAGAACAAATAAACACTGTGTGTAGGAGCGTACGCGTGCTGTTCTCATTCTTCCCAGCCGTCAAGGATGGCGGGTTTTCCCTGACGGAAAAGAGAAAGGGCGAGTGGATGGATGCAAGGTGGGGCTCAGAGGGGAGTGTAGGCTGCAGCCTGGTTGCTGGGGAGCTGCCATCCTGTCCGCATGGCCTCAGTGGGCCGTTCTGGGGGCGGCCTGTCCCCGCAGGCTGCAGGAGCCTTCTCGTGTGTCCTAGTCTCCTGACGGCTCTGAGGATAATGTGTAATTAACGTGATGTGACATGTTCCCTGTCGCGGGGATGCAGGACACCGCGGTAGGCAGTGCAGAGGATGCCCGTTCTACGGGTCAGAGCTCCTAGGAGAGCCTTCCAGTGTGTGGCTTCCAGGAAAAGTCAAGTGCGCCACGGAAAGCTGAGCCACCACCAACTACCCACCTCCATTCTTCCAAATCCAGGACAGATGGCCAAGTTGGTCGGCCTCTAGAGGGCAGGAACTATATTTTACTCCTCTTTTTATCTCCCAGAACCTGGCATATAACCAACAATCAGAAAGGCGAGAAGGGACTTCTGAATGAGTGACACGGGGGGCGGGGGTGGGGAATTGGAGTGAGACCAAGCTGTGACAGAAAAGGGAGCGAGGGACCGGGCACATGCCCCCTGGACTTGGACTTTAAATACCCTTGTTCTTAACCTCTGAGAATCACGCTCAAGAAGCAGACTTTGGGTTAAGCACATGTTGATAACAAAGCAACACGTAAGGCAGGGCTCAGCCTGCTCTCCAAACCCACTAACTTCTAACACTGTTCTTCCTCTACAGATGACCCGGCCGCCTCTTCCTGAGGCTCCCAGCTGGTCCCGTGTTGAAATTCCTTGTGTGTAGCTCTGAGGAGAAGTCCACTCCTCCGGAGACGGAGCGGACGGGCTGATGGTGGTACTGGGGGTGGCTGGTCAAAGGCCCCTCGGGTGGGCTGTGCACGCCAGGTCCTGGAGGAAACATAGGTGGTGATGCAGTAGGCAGCTCGGGGGCTCCTCTGAAGCTCTTACTGTGCTTGCACTTGAACTCCAGCACCAGCCGGGTGTATGCGTTGAAGGTGGTGACAGCTGACGCCATGCAGCAGGTGAAGGAAACCCAGGCCGTGCTAGGGACAAATATACAAAAAAAAACTGGATTGTAAGACTCTGACTTCCTTACGGGTTTGAAAGAAAAATACCGGGATCCCTTCCCACTAGTCAGCTGGGCCGATGCCGCCTTAGGGATTTAAGGATCTCGTGGTGTTGCCTTCCACCACGTTGCAGGTAAAGAGCTGTGGGCAAGAGGACTGAATTTGGTCTGTCTTAGGGTAGGTTCTGAATGTTTCCTAGTAAAAGACAATGACTCGTATAGTGTTAAAGTCAGGCTAGGAGTTTAACGGATCCATTTTCACTGCACTGATTGGTGCTGTGTTCTTTTATACCTGGTGGCGTATTTTTCATGTTTGTGCATACACACACACACACACACACACACACACACACTCCCGCCCTGCCATACAATTTTTTGGACAGTTGTTTCCCAAGCTACAGTTACCCTTGTATAATCTCCAAGCTTCCATATAGCTGTAGCTCAGCTGGACACAGTGGACACAGCCCGAGGCACTACATCCCTCCTTTCCCTGACACACATACTTCCTGCCAGATACCTCTTCCATCTTCCTTGGTTTCGCACCTAGCTGTCTTAGGGTCCACAAAGTTGAGCCTCTGAGAGGCATTCAGGAAACACTGACTACACATCTAGAGGTATTATTCTAGGCCGCTGTAGTGGAATTTGCCTACTATGGAAACGGTGTGGTTCTTGGCTTACGGGAGTTTGTAAAGGACGGAAGAGATGCTGGAGATGAAGAGAAGCTGGATGGATCCAACAAAGAGAAAAAGACACCAGGGAACTGTATCAAACACATTCCTAAAAACTGCGGAAGTCGAACCCCTAAGTCTTCCATGACCATGGGAAGCGCGGGACACCAGGAGTGGTGTAGGCTGTGTGTGTGGGTGTTTCACGAGGCCAAGTGATGCTTAGAGGCTACGCGCTGCTACTGCTCTTTCTCTCCGCTGCCTCTGACGGACTAGACTCAGGCTGAGGGCGCTTCTGGTGGGAGTTTCGAAGTCTGAGATCTGCAGTTGAAATGCCCAGAATGGCTTGAAAATGGATAAAAGGTGAGAAACGGTGAGTCTGGAAAATGAGCTAAACTGATCGGGTGGCTGATGGAGAGATCAAAGGCCCCTGAATCCAACAGCACATATTACACCATGAGAAAAGGGGAGGAGATCCTGTGACGGACATATACAGGCTTCCATATGCCTCTTCAGCACGGACTGCCTTTCCAGCACTGTTAAGTGCTTAGCACTCAGCCCAGACGGTTCATGTAGGTCCAAGTCGGCACCTGTGCAGTGAATGGAGAGCGTTCCTCAAGGGAGAAGGTGAGGAACCCAAACAAAGGGGGTGTTTCCCTTGAATGTGTGTGTTTCATCATGGTTGCTGCTTCCCTCTTTTAAAGAGAAATCTAAGCTAACTGAGCCCTTAGTTCTTTAAGGGTTAGAGAGAGACTGGTAGGGGAAGTTTCATTTCTAACACAGTTCGATGGAATAAGAATGGAAGCAGGAGAAGCCACTCTTCGTCCCAGGAGAAGAGTGAGCCATTCACAGGAATGGACTCCGATCCAGATTGCAAGGCTAATTCTTCATTTCTCTGTCTCCCAATACCTTGAATCATAAAATATATAAAACAGAGAGCATCATTTCCGTAAGCCATGCAAAATTAGTCTCATTTCCCAAGGGCGTCATACGTATCGGGTGAAGAAGCACTTGTTACAGCTTTATCAGCAGAAAAAATAAGCCCGAGGAATCCACTCTGTACCTCCTCAGAAGGTGGGGTGGGGGGGGAGAATGGGCGTGGCCTGCTGGTCCAGCCCTCTGGGTGACTAATGGACATCTGGGATGAGGGATGAAGAGAAGGCAGAAGGACGCAGAGCAAGCATCTACTTAAGATGGACCAGGGAATAAGAGAAAGGTGAAGGAGCATCTACTAAGAGGCCCAGCCATAATTCCAAGCATGGGGCCTCCAGTGTTCTGGACCCAAGTCGGCCGTTGCTTGGAAGACTTGTGACTACATCATATGGCCCACCATCCCCAGAAGGCCTACAGAGGAAACAGGAAGACAGTTCCCTTAGAGACAGGCTGGCATTGCCATGTACGGGGAATACAGTTTGGGAGCAACCTCCTCATCTGGCATCAGGTACAACCTGTGTCGAGGCGTTCCATTACCCCGATGCCACCACGCTCCAGGGGGACGACTCTGCAGCGGGGGCTTCTCCTTGAAGGCGTGTTTGCAATCGCTTCCGCAGATGTTTGGTTTCAAGCTGTGGGAACATTTCTGAGTCGAGGCTGCACACAGGCTGCTGCTCCCTTTACTTCTTTCCCACCTGTACCCCCAGTATGGGCCCTGTCCTTCGTCTACACGCATCTCTCACTTTATCCAACAGAGTGTGGAAAAGCTGTGTGGATGTCACGACTCAAAAGTAAACCAGGGGCTTCCCTGGTGGCGCGGTGGTTGAGAGTCCGCCTGCCGATGCAGGGGACACGGGTTCATGCCCCGGTCCGGGAAGATCCCACATGCCGTGGAGCGGCTGGGCCCGTGAGCCATGGCCGCTGAGCCTGCGCGTCCGGAGCCTGTGCTCCGCAACGGGAGAGGCCACAGCAGTGAGAGGCCCGCGTACCGCAAAAAAAAAAAAAAAAAAGTAAACCAAACTGTATTGTACATAATGAGAAAACTTGCAAATAAAAAGAACCTAGAGAGAAATCATTTAGCAAAGGACAACATCTAGCAAAAGGTAACATTTCGCGTGTTATTTCAATTTAAAATTAAAGACGCCTGTGCTGTTATCTCCTGGCTCCATTCTTTAGACCGCCTTGGGGCTCCTTCTTCCCTTGGGACAGAGACTCCAGCCTTCCGGCTAGTGCTTCAAAGGCAGCAGAGGACATCCACCCTCCTCTCCAGCTCTGGAGATGCTCACCTGACAAGACGGAGAAGATGGCGGTGAGGGTGCTCAGCTTGAGGCCACGGCCGCGGTTCCCCGTGAATAGCAAGTCCATCAGTAGGAGGAGGAAGCCGATGAGTTCAAGTCCGAGGTAGGCGAATCGGACTCCCAGTGATAGCCGTAGGATCTCTGTCAGAAACCAGAGGAAGAAGAACCCTCACCCTGACAGTTAACTAACTGAACCGGCGGTGAACAAATGCTGCCCATGAGAAGTGCAGAGCCTCGTTGCACCAGAGGAGGAGACCGAGCTGAAAGCAGCTGGGACAGCCCTTAGCCTGGGGCTCTTTGTTCTCACTCTGCCCAGTACCCAGTACATAGCCAAGTACACCTGATTGCCTGTAAAGACTCTTAGGGAGGCTTGAGAAGAGATCAAGTTTCACCAAATCTTGCAGGGATATGACTTCGCTAGTTATCATTTTTGTTTCTCCTTTGTTTTAAAGTTTAATGTTGGAGCAATCCATTTTGTTTCCCTTCTTCCTCCCCCCATCCCGACCCCCGCCTTGCCCTCTTTGACTCCCTTCTTTCTATGTTACGATAAAATTATCGGGGGGGGGGGGGGGGGGGGGAAAAACCCAAGCTTTCTACATCGTTACTTGGCAACTGGAGTAGGTTAGAGCTGTTGGTGGATTTCTATTTGTGGACTTTATTTGTCCCTGCTGTTCCTTTTTTGCATTCCTGCATAGGAATGAGGGTCAGCCTAGCAGGAGTCTGTGTCACCCTGTGAGGCTCAGAAGAAGAGAAAAGCAAGAGATCACAGTACAGTTTAGATACTCAGAGGCCCAACTCAGTGGCAACTAAGTTTGTTATCAAAGCTACATACTTGCCCCAAGCCCCAAGGGAAGGTGGGGGATGAAAGCCTTCTCCATCAACCGCTTCCCTCCAAATCGGAGAGAGGGGTGACATGGGTCTTGCAACGTGGCAAATTCCAGTAATCCTTTCTCACCTCTCTTGGTTGGTGGTGTGAGTTCAAGGAAACTTCGGCACCTCTCTCCTGAAACAGACAAGGTACAAGGCGATGAGGTGCTGCCTTGGATGAGGGATGCAGACTTTTCCCCAGTCCCATCCCAGGTACTGCTCCATTTGGTCCTACACAGGCCTGCCCCGCAGGTGGTAGGCAGGCAATAAATGTCTCTTTGGAAGCAGGGAAGGATGCATGGATGGATGAACAAAGTAGGCCAGAGTCATCCAAGATTAATTTCTCTCTCAAGTCCTGATAATGGAGAGTACACTTCCCTGAGTCACCCCGGGGAATGTCCCCAGCATTGGTTCACCAGCACCTTTTGCTCCTGCTGTACCACTGGGCTGCAGGGCTTTAAACTGTTTCCGGGAGTGGAGTTGGAGCAGTGCTAAGTGGCACAATAATAACTCAAGTATAAATGTAAATACACACGAATTATAATCCTGTCCCATCTCCTCTTCCCCTTAGCCTAAATCGGGAGAAGCAGCAGATTGCAAATTGTACACAGTTCTGGGCTTTAGAAAAGCTTCACGACCAGGGGAATCTTTGCATGCTTTGAGCAGGGAGGAGGGGATGTCCTCAACCCCACTGCTCCCCACCCGAGGACGACCCTTACCTAACGGGCTGGCACAGCGCCTGCTTTGCGAGTGTGAGACCCAGCGGCGTGAGACATGGGAGGGTCTGTCTGGGTCCAACTTCCACAATCTAGTTATTTTCTCTGGGCTTCAGTTCCCCTACCTTTTCTTTTCTTTCTTTTTTTTTTTTTTGCGGTACACGGGCCTCTCACTGTTGTGGCCTCTCCCGCTGCGGAGCACAGGCTCCAGATGCGGAGGCTCGGCGGCCATGGCTCACGGGCCCAGCCGCTCCGCGGCATGTGGGACCCTCCCGGACCGGGGCACGAACCCACGTGCCCTGCATCGGCAGGCGGACTCTCAACCACTGCGCCACCAGGGAAGCCCTCCCCTACCTTTTCAATTGTAGCAGTAACCCTTAGAATGAACACCCTTTTGGGGTCTTGTTTAAAGGCGATCTACACTGATCCCTGCATCTCACAAATGAGAAACTCAAGGCCTGTAGGAATGAAGTTCTTCCTATCAGGTCACAGCTGGGCAGAGCCCCGGCTCTTTCTATGATATTCTCCTCGTTTTGTCTAGGCAACTCTAGCTCGCTGGGATGGAAATTCTCATAATGTTAAAAGTCTGCATGAGCACAGGGAACTCTACTTCACTTTGCTGTACGGTAGAAACTAACACAACATTGTAAAACCACTCTACCCCAATTAAAAAAAAAAAAGTCTGCATGAAACCCTTTAAGGGTAATGCTATTTGAAACCAGCGAGACTGGAGGTGAAACGCCAGATGGTTGGACTTTGGACCTTATTACGAGGGAGTCTGATGGGGAAGGGACACAATGCAGAGTGGGGAGACCCCGAGGCGGAGGTGGGGCCTGGCAGGGGTGAGTGAGGGCTGTACAAAGAATCCCACTGATTCTTTGCCTGCATGAGATCCCTGGTGGGGAAAAGATATCAGGTGGGTGGGGTGAGGGGCCACCTGGGTCTTCCACGATTTCCTCATAGGAGAGCCACATGCCACTCCCGAAGGCATGGAAGGTGAAGCGGTCATCCCCAGTCTCCCAGCTGTACTGCACCACCTCCAGAGATGATACATTTGTGCTGCTCCCATCCAAGGGCACCGGCACATCAAAGCACTTGGCTGGCAGACCTTTCCCACACAGGGGCTTGGGCACCTTCTGTATGCCCACAAACCAGTAGCTGCTGAGCAGGGATGCGGTGGAAAGGCTGCGTGATAGCATGTTGAGGAAGGCAGATAGGCATGTCCATTGGTCAGAAAAGGCCTTCGGGAGCTCCATCTGTAACAGACAAACACAAGAGCGGAGCCTGATTTCAGAGCCTCCTCGGAGATCAGTGCCCTCCCCTGCAGCTCCCTAAGCTCGAGCCACTTTCCTCCAACAAGATGGGCACAACGAGCCACTGGGAGTTTTCTCCAAGTAGCCGTGAGGAAGCTCGGGCTCCAGGAGTGGCCCAGAGTAGGCACCGTAGTGATGATGTTTATTTAAGCCGGACCTTATTATATTAAAACGCTTATTGGGGATAATCTGAATAAGCATCCGATAATAATGAGACTAAGCCACTGAGTTAGTATATATCTGGTTGAGAAAAAGAATTGGGAGCTCTCCAAATGCCCCTGCCGGTAATTTTCGGCTTTGTCTTCCTTGAAAGGTAGCAGCACTGACTTGTGGAGGTATTTGTTATTGTGACAACGTAAGTTTTGGATGTCTTCCTCCCTGCATTAGATTCCTCTGAGAGGAGTAAAGGGGCATATATCCTATCAACAAATGTTAAAGTGGATCCTCCCTGGGGGAGCAGATAGAGGCACTGGGCCCTTGAGGATAAGAGGGCAGTGGACCAACTGGGATGTGGGGATGCTGCAACCTTTGGAGAGGAGAGGAAGCTATGGGTTCTCAGAGGGGTGGCCATATGGGTCCAGCTTCCATCCACTGCCCCCGAGATGACAGAATCTCAAATGCCAGGTGGCTGCGTGGTACCCATGGAGGCTGGACGCCGAGTGCTGTGACCTTGGAGACACGGGAGGGTGCCCTTGGTGGGTGGGGACAAGGAACGTGCAGGGGCGGCCCCACAGCCTGATGCAGCCGCAGTGCCTGACTCCGGGGGTAACCCAGTGCGTGGCTGCAGAATGACTGTGGCCCGGGTAGCTCTGGCTGGAGGCCCTGACCTCGTCATTTTTAGCCTAAGAGAAGAGAAGGGCGAGCTGAAAAAATCCACTATTAGATATTTCAATGTTGGGGAGTGGTGGCTTGGAGCCAGATTTAAGCTGATTTAGAAAAAGAAAGAAATCTGACAGGTCTCAGATTTTGAGACGTTTGCATTACGAAGCAGTTTGTACTGTTATATTAATACATACTGAATGGAGAAGAAGCCCATACTTAGTTGCTGACAGACACTTCTTAAAGTAAACCATCTTGAGCTTTCTAGGCGATCGCTCATATCAGGATTAATCAGACCCAAATCTGCTTAGCTTAAGAGATGTAAATAAAACCATAGCTGAATGAGACAGGCCCATCTCCTCTCATCGTCTCCAGCTTAACATTTTCTACATTAAACAGGGAACTTTCTCTTAGAAGCATAACAGTTTGTTCTTCAGAATTTCCAGGCACTAAAACCGTGCATACCGCAAAGTGCAGGTTTTCTTTTTTTTTTAATAGCAATAAGAAATATACCAGATTCTCATGTATATAAAAAGCCAGTAAGCAAAACGTATGATGAAACAGCTTCTGAAAAGCAATTTGCTAATATGATTTTTTTAAAGCACTCAACAAATTAACTCCATCAAGAATTTTCTGGGTGACCCTGCTGAGGACTCAAAAGCCATGGCATCTGGAAGGGGGATGATCTTATAAGATCATCAATAAGTCCCAAGACTCCAGATATGGGAGTCATTATGAGGCCCCTTTCTTCCTGCAAAAGAACGTTTTATTCTTGTTTTTAGTTATGAAAATCCTATTGGTTTTTGTCATTGTTCTGTTACTATGAGTTAGTTATTCTTTCTTTTTTTGTATCCATTGCTTGACTAGGAAATAGACTTCAAGGTGAGACATCTTCCTCAATCATCCAGCATAAAGGTAGAACTAAGGGTTTATGCAAGTCTACATTTTTGACAACTTTATTTTCAATCACTTACGGCTTGGAGATTTATCTACTATCACATCACATCAGATGTTAATTCTACCCTCAATCCATTTCAGATCATATATATTTGTAAGTTACTCTTCAGGTTGTTCCGAAATAAGAATAATGAACCCCTCGCCACAGTACAACCACTCTGTAGCAGCACTAAGCTGACAACCAAATGAAGAAATTGAGATACAGAGGATGAAGAAGAGCTTAGAATGAAGCCCAAAGAGGTTGTTTCCAGGAGCGTCCACCAAGGAGCCTCATTTAAGAATTATCTTGATCATCGAATGAGAATCCATTCAAAAGGCTTTTCAAGAATTGTCTTCAACACCCACAGTGCCATGCCCTTCATCACGTATTTTATTCCTCCCCCCAAAATATGCCTTTTCTCACTAGGATCCAGATACTTTTTGAATTGGAAGAACAATCTAATTTGGCGACGGTTTCCTTAAGGGGATCATGGAGAAGTAGCAGCTAGAAGACAAGTTCTGTCTTTGCATGTACTGATAAGCCCCAAGCCAAGGGGACTCTTTAGTCTCTAGAAAAGGGACAGAGTGTGGCTTCCCTGCTCAGATCTACTAGGAAGTACATAGATGTGAAAATGTCAGTAATTCTTCCACTGACATAGGTTAACAGAAAACACTCAGATTTAACTTAGGCTAGTACGGAGAGCAAATTGATGAGACTGGCACATCTCTTAAAAGAATCAGGTGCAAAACAGCTATGGAATCTATGTTCTGAGTAATAAGAGAGGGAAGCTGGTTACCTTGGCCATGGTCAGCATCTTGTGGTTTGTCCAGAAGGACTGCAGGTGTCATCTGTGCTCCAAATCCCTTTGGTTTAGTGTTGAAAGAAGGAAAACTCCCTTTCCACCCTCCTCCCTCCCCCTCCCACACCCCTCCCCTCTATCTCATAGTTTTTGGAGTACCTCCTGATTAAATGCTGCTTGCAGGGAACTTGGGCATTTAATAATTGCCAATGCAATCATGACCCAGCTGTTCTGGGAGATTACACAGGAGAGCTTGCCAGTGGGGATCTGGGATTCAGCATAAGAAGCAAGGACCTGGACCTCTGCATGTGCAGAGGGAAATTTCTTTAAAGAGTACCTGATCACTGAGTTTCCATCTCACTGCCATTCCCTAGGTAACTAGTGTGAATGGACTGGTCTTGATTTTATGGCAGACAAAATATTCCAGAGTCACCATTACTACAAAAGCTCCCATTCCCTTGTGTTGGGTTTTCCATCCCTTTAATAAGCTCTATGACCTGCAGTGTCAGGGCCTCATGGAGCCATGGGTATGAAAAGGCTTTCTGGTGTCGTGGGTGGTCTCCACTGTCCAGTTAGCGATATTAGTAAGGATTATTACAACATCCTGAGACCGTCAGAGTGTTAGGTAGGGTTGGGGGTGAGGATGCAGTTGGAGGAGGGTTGGAGAGAAATAAGTCCCAGGGTCAGCAATGCTACAGCTATCTATCATTTCTCTCCCAATCTTTGGGCAAAGGGATAAAATTTTTTAGCTTTTAAAAAATGATTTCTAAAACTTAAAAAAATAAAAACGAAGATACTCTTTCTTCTTGGAATGTCTTCTCTTTTACCTGGTGATCTGCTTCTCATCAAGATTAATAAAAGTCACTCATTCTTTGAAAATGTTGCTTCCTAAGAACAGTTCCCTTTTCTTTGTCCTTGTCACACTCTACCCCTCCCATGACGTTTTCTATATCCCATTCTGATTGTTTGCCTTGATCGCAAAGTCTTCAAAGGCTGCTGCTTGTTCAAGAGCAGTAGGTCTCAATTCTGACAGCACCAGAACATCTTTGCAACTTCGGAAGATATGCAGATTCCTGGGCTCCATCCTGAGCGGCCGTCGTGGTTCTGGGGTGAGGCCCAGGAAGCTGTAATTTTAGAAGGATTTTGGTACCCAACCAGGGATGGACTCCTGGTTTCCGGTTCTGCATGTGAGGACCTTGGGAGCCGCCCCTCTGACCAAAAAACAAGTAAAAAGCTGAACAGACTGAAAACTATATAGCCAGGGGATTAATGTACCATAAAATCACACCTCTTTGATTCACTTTGGGTTGACATTTAATGAAAGCCTCTCTACCCTGCCCTGCCCTTCTGCCACCTCATCCAGATTTGCCACCAACCAAGTCATGGTCTTCCCATCCTATGTTTGTGCAGCTGGTTTAGGGAATCAAAGGCAGGCTTCCCTCGGGGCATTTGAATTGGTCCACACTCCAGCCAAATGAGTCTGTCACCGGGTATGTTCTCTACTCTTAACAGCACGTTTTACACATGTACTTCTGTCCAGGCGTGATGTCTGTATCACCTAAATGGCCCTTTCTGCACGGTGACAGAACTCCCTCTCCTTTGGGGGAAGGGAGCAGGGATGCCTGTGGTCACTTTTTACCCCTGAATTGGCTGTTGATCTGTAGGCTGCAGTTTTCATCTCAACGCTGGGTGGCGCTGTCTCCCCATATTTTCCCTCTTCGGACACAACCTTCCCCCCCACCCAGTTGGCAAAGCTGGGTGGAGGTGGCTGCCCGCTGGGCAGGCTGGGGCTCTTGCTCTTTGTTCTTCCCTTGGCCTCCCCACACACGAATCTATAGAAGCCGTACGTCAGCCTTCTGGAATTCAGAGCTCAGAACGAACTCTGGGGCCATCCAGCTGCTCCCTTGAGGACATCTTGTAAGACTGTGTGCTGTGGCACATTTTTTTGGTGGCCAGTTTTAGTTTTCAGTAACTCAATAGGTCCTCATATACTTCCCATGGGAAATACAGCTCCGCAGTAACAGAAAACACGGTTAGCCAATGTTTCCTGATGAGTTTTGCTCACATTTTTCTCTACTTAATCGTATCCTCATTCCCTTTCCACCCCAGAACAGTGAGCAATTCTTTTCCCTTCGCTCTGCTTCCACCCTTCAAATACTTGGAGACACTTCTCATATCCCGCTTGAGTCACCGTTTGGCACAGTGCTCTTTGGGTTTTTATCGCCTCTGCTCATAAACCGTGCCCTCTGTGTCTTAATAGCCCGAAGTGTGCCTTCTCCAGGGAAAAGGGGATGGGAGTGGCAGAGTCTCAGGTGGGTCACATGGGGAGGTCTAGAGGTGGATTTCGAGAGTGTAGCTGATGCAACTTCAGCTTTGTGGTCCCCCACTTACTCAGGCCCCTTCCAAGATGCTGTTACCTAATTTGTACTTGTCATTTTGTGTTCTTTTTCTTAAAGAGGGCCTCTCGAATTATTTTAGCCCTTCCCAAAGCCTGAATCTACCCCTTAGGAGGCTGTGCACTTAGTGTGTGCTTGGCTGGCTGCCGCCTAGCTGTGCTCAGTGCTGAGACCACCCCCCTTCCCTCCCCCAGGACCCTGGGCCGCGAGGTCTAATTTCCTCTTTTTGACAAAACATGAGTTTCTCTGCCTGGCCACAAAAATCAGAGCCCAGCATCCTACTCACTTCCTTTCATTGTAATTTGGGCATGTTAATATATTTTTTTTCTTCTCTTTCTTCTCTTAGGACAGAAAAAGTAGTCACTAGTCAATGCCACATAAATATAATTTGGTTAGGCTCAGAAGCTCATGATTCAAGACAGACGAGAAGATTCCACATCTCAAAACAATATTGAAGGGCTTCCCTGGTGGCGCAGTGGTTGGGAGTCCGCCTGCCGATGCAGGGGACGCGGGTTCGTGCCCCGGTCCGGGAAGATCCCACATGCCGCGGGGCGGCTGGGCCCGGGAGCCATGGCCGCTGAGCCTGCGCGTCCGGAGCCTGTGCTCCGCAACGGGAGAGGCCGCGACAGTGAGAGGCCCGCGTACCGCAAAAAAACAAGAAACAAAACAAAAAAAAACAATATTGAACTTTTGTGTGCTGGACTATTACCATCTCAGGATTGACCTCACAGGGATGTATGTGCAACTGAACATTTATGACATCACAAAGCCAAGGGCTGGGACTAACCTAGTCTTGCTAAGTTCTTAAGTTACCACGCCCTGCACTGTGGAAAACCACATTTACTAGGTATGAATGAAGAGAAACTGGTCTTGGGACACCCACATTTACTTTGTAAACAGGAATTCAGTTTGCTTTGTGACTACGCTGAAGATTACAAGTGATTAAAACAATGCGTAAGAATGCTGAGATGCTGAGCAGTGGAAGATTGTATAGCATACCACTTCCCTCAGGTCCAAGCCTGGGGCTACAGGATCCCCATTTTTTTTTTTTTTAATATATCCATTCTGGCATTTTGTCCCAAGAGAGGTTTGTTTGGGACAGATAGTAGTATCTCTGTCCTTCTCCCAGGTGTCAGATTTCTGACCCAGTTCCTGTTAACTAACTCCTTTCTGTTACTCAGTAGACAAAAGGCTGGAATGGAGAGTAAGTAAATGTTTCTCGGTTGTCACTGGCTCTGATCTACACCACCCTATTCTCTGCTCCTGCGCGTGTTCTACTGTGTGCCTCTCTCATGTAACTCATCATATGGTTTACTTGGCTGTTCTGCCCACTTGGCTAAGTTTCTAGATACAGTAGCAACTATGCTTTGCTCATTGTTGATCCTCAGAGCCTAGCCCTAACAGCCACAAATGGATGGAATGAATGAATGAAGTGTGAAATGGAAACCAGGCTCATGAATACAATTAGAATACAATTAGGAAGACTATGGGTGAAGATAAGATAATGAAGAAAAGTGTTCAAACAGCCTTCTATTGTAGAGGAAACACGAATCCTCCTGCTTCACATACAGAAGAGCAGTGTCCACAGGTCCACAGAAACACCCTATGCCTTTCTATACAGATGCACCCAGCGTTTCATCACACAGACCCTCTGCCAATACATTTCCTCCCACCTGTGGAAACACTCCTGCTGTTTGACCAGCCAAGCCCAGAAAACAGCAGTGACCTCATGAACCAGTATTACCTTCAGTTCACAGACACCAGGGTACAATCAGATTGCTCACAAGCCAGTGACAGATTGGAAATGTTATGTCCTTTCCCAAGCTCGGTGATTCCCCACTGACTGGAGCCCTTTCGGCTGACATGTCTTGAACCGTCCGAGCTTTCGAAGCTCTAAATTACAATTTTTACTTCAATGCCTGACATGTGACTCATTTACTAACGAAGATAAAGACGGTTCGCACAGGACATTTTTGCTATCTGCCTCCCAGCCCTAAAGGGAAGACTGGTGCCACTAAAATGCCCGTGCCGAGTATCCAAAATACTAACACCACTCTAGGATACCGGGCTCTGGGATTTCCTAGCGTCAGGTTAACTCTCATGTAACCATGCTTTATGTCCACATGACCCTAGGGGCCCACAGAATAAAAAACGACTCCTGTCTTCCTAACATGGGTCCCGGAGTTTTGGGAACACCTACTTCTGTGCAGTGGGAAGGCCCAAAGAAAAGCATCTGGGGGCCTCTCCTCTCTGTGTCTTTTCCCTTTCCGCTTTTTAATGGAATTGTTTGAGGGCTTTTGCTAATGCAGTCATTTCCAGGAGAGGAAGCCGCCGTTCTTCCATGCCGCAAGCAGCTGGAGTGAATCAGGGGGGCAGCCCATCTGCACATCCTGTGGGGCAATCGTTCACGCTGGGGTGACAGAGCCCTCGTGGCCTGCTTGGGGCGGGGGTGAGGGTGGTGGTGGGGGGGTGGGTCTCGGGGACCGACGGGTGGGGCGGGGGTCTAACGCGAGAGGCCTCTCGAGGGGTGCTTAGGGCGCGGCCCCGGGCTGGCAGCACTGGGCTGCCCCGTTTCCATCCCGCGTGCGCCTCCCTCGTCCCTTTCTCTCCTGCCCTCTCTTTGTCCCCCTGGCAGCCGCGAGGCCCGAGCGTAGGCTAGTCACCGCCGCCACCCCGCAGCCCCCTCCCTCCCAGAGTAACACCCCAGCCCAAGGTTTACTACGCCTCCCGGTCGCCTAGCAGCGGGCGCGCGTTGCCATGGCGACGCGCGGGCGCGTGCTTTGAATTGTTTGGCTAGGCTCCGCCCAGCGGCCGAGCCCCGGAAGGTCCCGAGCGGGTGGGGCGCCCCGCCAGGGCCCTTCGGGCTCTCCATCTTCCTGCGGGGACGGGAGCGGAGTCCCGGGGTCCCTCCCAGGCGGGGCGGGCGGAGGGAGTGCGGAGACCCTGCCCATCCCCTGAATTCCGAACGCAGCCTGGTGGGCCGAGGGTCGGGAGGAGCCGGGTGCCGTGGAATCCAGAGTCAAGGCTTTCCCCGCCCCCTGCCCTTCCCCTGAACTTACTCTCCCGGCTCCAGTTCTGCAGGAAGGCCGTGCCTTTGCCTCATTTCGTGGGTCCAAGAGGCTGAACTTCGGGGCCACGAACCCTCAGCGGATCAGAGTTCCAGTCACTGCTCCACCCACGACCCCAGGACGGGGCTAAAGATTTTGGCCAAGTTCTCTAATCTCCCCGAGCGACTGTTTTCTCAGAGGCGATTTAGAAAGAGTTTGACCTTCACGGTTCTGCTGTGAAGATCAAAAGCGGTGGAGTGAACGTGGAAAGGAAGAGGAAGGACCCCGTCCGTGTCCTGGACGGCTTACCAGTCCCTCCACAGACGTTTAATCTTCACAACCAGCCCGAAGGAGAGGCGGCTGCTCCGTTCTAGACGCGAGTCAGATTCCCAGAGTCTGACTTGCTCAAGGCCACACCGCCCGTAAATATTGGAAACGTCCTGAGCCATGGCCTGGCCGCCCTGCAGCAAAGGGGAGGCCCAGTCACCTTAACCATCGCCCAGATTGAGGCCCAGTTATGAGAACGCACACAGAATGAGGCGATGGATTGCGTACTTTAAACTTCGCGGATTTATACCGATAAACAGACTCTCCCATATTTCCTCTGTATCTCTCCTCATAAACCAACAAAATGTTTTTTCACTGTGGCTGGCTTTCCTGTCCTATGCCTATCCACTTCTGAGGGTTCTCTTATTTGTGATCTATTCACTTAGGGAGCTTCTGAACCAGGCAAGCGGACTGAGCCCACCATGAGCTCTTCCCCGCGGCCCCAGAAGGGTCTCTTTCCTAGAACCAGTCCTATCCTTTCTTCTGAGATCCCTAAATTCCAGACCTTGAACAGCACACCACATTGCTCTGTGTGTTTTATTTCTCTGGCTAATTGTAAGCTTCATTTTTCTTTCCTGAGAAAGGCAGGATATAGGAGAATGAACGTTGCCTTTTTTTTTTTTTAGTAACCCTGAGAGCTGCAATTTGGTAGTTCCCAACTTTCTCAAAATGGGAGGCAAGTCCCTTCCAGATGTGGATTCTACCCTAAACAAGCCAAGACATCTTTGCTGGCTGTGAGTGTCTTTCTGGGTCTGGAAGCATCTCTGCAGATTCTTTGAGACCAGAAAGAACCTGAGGTCATGCTGTCCTCCTTAGTTCCAGCAGATTTCCAATCAGAGCTGGCTTTCAGTGGGACCATGCGGTGCCTCATCGTCTCTTTCTGTTCACTAGAGTGATGCACATCTTTATCGCTGCCATGGTCGTTGGGCCTTCTACTGGGGACCAGATTTTGTAACAGGAATCATACAGATGGAGAGGAAAAAAGAAGAGCTAGAAGACGCTAAGCTGCCCTGGGAGCAGAGAGGGAAAGTATGATAAGAGTCAAAGGAGGAAGAAATGGAAGTTTTAATAGAAGGTGATGAGAAGACAAGAGGCCAAGGTAGGGACATCACCAGGTTTATCAATAAAACCTGGGCTTGAGTAACAAATTTTTACTGCATTTCGGATAATCCTACCACGTGTTCTCAAGCTCCTTACCCTGAGCGTGTGAAATAAATTGATGAATTTGTATAATTACCAATATTACCAATCCAACATTAAGAGTACTATACATGAGATAGTCCTGAGATTTCAGAATTCGAGGTACCTACCTTCTGGGTGAGACAAACATTTTGAGTCAGCTGAGAGGAATTGCTCATTCACTTTTGAAGTTCTGAGGCAAAGGGGTTTCAGTGTTTCTTCTGCTCTGTTTTAATCGGTTGCATGGGATGAGTATGGAGTTGAAGATGAATCAAGGCCCCTCTTGCCAGCAGAGGGGTCAGGTGGTGTGAGGTGGGCTGGAGATGATGAAGAGGATATCCTGCGGCCAGGACACCCATGTAGGTGGGGCTGGCTGACACAGGAGGCTGCCTCTGTGACATCACAGTGGCAGCAGGGGTGTCCCTGCTGCTCCCTCTGCCTCATCCCCCCACTCTCAGAAGGACTGGGGCCACTCTGGGGTTACCTATCAGAGGCCTGGGTGTCTCCTCTGTCATCTGGATCAGTGCTTTGATTACTATGCATAAGAATCACCTGGGCATCTTAGTAAACGATCAGATTCTGAAGGTTGGGGATGGCTCCCACGTGAAAGTGACCAGACCACATGGGGCTGTAAGACCCTAGACCAGTGCTGACAAAGAGAAATGAGATATGACATAACTAAAAATTTTCTAGTAGCCACATTAAAAAAAGTAAAATGGACACACACCCTGCAATACAACAATGATATCTTATGCGGTGCTGTCGTCAAAGTCAAATGCAGCCCTCCCCCAAACGATAAAGTTGGGTTCAATGGAAAAATAATTTACACTGTTTCCATTTTTATTTATTTATTTATATTTATTTGTTTACTATTTCTGGCCGCACCTTGTGGCATGCAAGATTTAGTTCCCCGACCAAGGATTGAACCCATCCCCCCTGCACTGGAAGCTCGGAGTCTTAACCACTGGACCGCCAGGGCAATCCTGCTTCCATTTTTAAAATTTAAATTAAAATGAAATAAAATTAGAAATCCAGTGCCTCAGTTGCACTCCGCCGAGGACTCTGAGGACTGCGTATCTGCATGTGGCTTAACAGGGCTACTGGACAGCTCAGCTCTAGACCATTCCCAGAAAAGTTAGTGATGTACAGAAATTAGCACTCTAAAGGACTAGTATCTGGAAACTAGTAGATGTTCACTAATATTATTTTAATAAGTACATAATGAGGATTTGGGGGCTGTTAACACTGAGACGTAACTCTGAGGCTTGAAGAGAGTTTTCCAGCCAAGGGTCTGGCTGGGGACTTTCTGCCCTGTGAAGTGTCACGCTCAGTCCACCTCTGAGCTTTTACTTGGGTGCTCCTCACTGGGACTCCTTTTTCTTCCTTGTCACCCCACGTAAATCCTACATGACCTTCAGGGCACACGATTCCAGCCTCGATTCAGCCAAAAGTCTTGCCTTGTTATTCTAGCCCTCGTTTCTCTCCCTCTCCTTTGAGCTTGCATAGCATGGATGGTCCAGCTGCACACTGTGGGGAGCTTCTTTCCGTGAGCTTTTGAGCTGCTTGCTATGCTTCAGGTGTGTTAGCCTGTCTCTCTCATGAGATTCTAAACTGCTGGAGGACAGACCTACTTCTTTACTTTTATTGTGCTTAATATAGCGTTAAGGGCGTAATAGCTGCTCAATAAATATTATTTGATTTAATGAGCTAAGATACCTAAGTAAATGTCCAAGAGAGAACATCAGATCTCAAAGTACCAATAACTTGAACAAAAGGAATAACATGCCTCGTTCTCAGAATGTCTCAATTTGATCAAGATGTCAGTTCTCCCTAAGTTAATTTATAAATGTAGTGGAACCCTAATATGAATACCAATGAGCATTTAAAAAGAGACAGATTGATATTAAAGTTCCTGTGAAAAAACAAATGCCCAAGACTAGCTAGGAAAACACTGGAAAGAAGGAGCTCTGAGGGGGCATTAACCCTAACATATTAAAGGATGCTAAGCCTCTGTAACTAAAACAATATGGTATTTACCGGTGCTTGGCTAGACAAACAGACCAGTGGAATAGAAGAGAAAGTCCAGAAATAAACACAGCTACAAGTAGACATCCAGTATCTGACAAGGGTGATATCTATAATCACTGGGGCAAAGATGATCTTTTAACAAATGGTGTTGGCACAAACTGATAGCCATTTAGAAAAATATAAATTGGATTCATTTTTGTACCCTATATAAGAACAAACTCGAAATGAACTAGAGATCTGAATGCAAAAATGAAATTATACAAGTACCAGAAGAAAGCATGGGTAAATTCCTCTACAACTTGGGTGTAAATAAAGGCTTCCTAATGATCTGAAAATCCAGATACTAGACAGGAAAAGATTGATAAGTTTGACTACACTAAAAAACCAAACAAACAAAACAAACTGGGAGAAAATATTTGTAACACGTATGACAGATAAAAGACTAATATCCCTAATATAGAGAGTAATTTTAAAAATTAAGGGGGGAAAAGGGCCAAAATTCCTATAGAAAAGCGCAAAATTCAGAAATAGATGGTTCACAAAAAGAGAAATATAAATGGTCCTAAACATATGAAAAGATGTTCAACTTCATTTAAGAGCCATGCAAATTAAAACTATAAAGAAATCATTTCTTACCTGTCAGATTGGCAAAACTATAAAGCTTGACAGTATACTCTGTTGATGAGGCTGTGAGGAAACAGGTCCTTTCATTCATGGCTGGCAGGAATCCAAAATGATACCACCCCTGTGGAGGAGAATTTGACAGTATTTAACAAAATTGCATGTGCTTTATCCCTTGACCACAGAAATCCAACTTCTAGGAATTTACCCTGAAGGTGCACCTCCCACAGTATGAAAATATATATGCACAAAGTTATTCACGGCGGCATTTTTTGTCATTGTAAAATATTGGAAACTACCTATATCTCCAGGCATAGGAGATGGGTTGAATAAAATATGGTATATACATGCAGTGGGGTACTGTGCAGCCGTATGAAGAAAACCCAAAAAACAAAGTAAGGGAGTTTTCTCTGAACTAGTATCAAATGATTTTCAGGAAATACTAGCTGAAAAAATGGAAAGCACAGAAGAGGATATATAGTATGCCATCTTTTGTGTAAAAAGGGAACGGAAATGAAACATACATATATCTTATTGTTACCAAAAGAAACACAGGAAAGATAAATCAGAAAGCAATAAACTTGATTACTTACCAGAGGGAGGGGATGGAAGTGATTCAGGAGGGAGTGACACTTCTACGTGAATAATACTTTTTGTATAGTTTGACTTTTGGAAGCATGTTAATCTTCCACATATTCAAAAATAAAATTAAAACAAGATGGGAAGGGAAAGAAAAGCCTAAAACAAAACACACTGAGACGAATGGATCCAATTGTATTTCAACCACACAAAAGAAAGAACAAATCTAAGTAACTCAGGAACATGTTGTTTGACTATTTATCTTCTGTCTTGGCTGAGGTTGAGTGGAGGAGAATTGTAATCAACTCCCGAACTCTTCTTAGTATATAATCTTATTCATCTCATGGTAAGATGTGTCAAGAAATTTGGAAACTATTTTAAATGTACTGTGGCATTGGGCAAATGAAGAAATGTGTTAATGCTATTGGGAGTGAGAAGTCCCATATGGGAAATGGATATCAAAATGTGGAATGGGGAAGGCAAGAAGGAACCCTGTGGGGCTGGATTGGAATTAGAGGCATCAATGTGAACTCATGATTTCATGTATACACACATACACACATATGCATATGTATGTATACATATACAACACACACATATGCATATGTATGTATACATATGCACATGTGCACATAAATATGTATACATGTATATGTATTGTGCATGTGTACGTATATATAATATGTATATGGTATTATGTTTGTATGTATGTATATAAACACATGCATATTTTTTCTAGCTTTGTCTACTGAAGGGGCCTAGAATCAGAGACACCCCAGTAGCAATGAGCACCTACAACTCAAATCTTGGCCTCTAATTCCAAAAGCTCCTCAAAGAAATGGCCAGTTCCGGAGCTAGGACAAGGTAGGTACGTGATGAGCTTGGAACATTTGACCAGAAAGTAAAGAAATGCATGAAAAAAAAATGATGAGGGGCATTCACAAGGACACAGGAACCACCTTGAAGGGATTTCTACTGGTTAAATCTGGTACAGTTTGAGCACCAAAATAATTAAGTACAGCATTGAATAATAAACCATTGAAAAAAGTAGGAATTAATAAGTCCCTACTAATAAATAGGTAGGCAGATAGATAAACAAATAAATATATAACATTCTATTTTAAAAAGTTGCACTGTGTTCCTAAAAAATGTCAATGTCACAAAAATCAAAGAAAAGCTAGGGAAATATTTCAGATTAAAGGAATTAAAGACACATGACATTGCAGCACTATTTACAATAGCCAGGACATGGAAGCAGCCTAAGTGTCTATCGACAGATGAATAGATAAAGAAGATGTGGCACAGATATACAGTGGAACATTACTCAGCCATAAAAAGAAACGAAATCGAATTATTTGTAGTGAGGTGGATGGACCTAGAGTCTGTCATACAGAGTGAAGTAAGTCAGAAAGAGAAAAACAAATACCATATGCTAACACATATATATGGAATCTAAAAAAAAAAAAGTGGTTATGAAGAACCTAGGGGCAGGACAGGAATAAAGACGCAGACGTAGAGAATGGACTTGAGGACACTGGGAGGGGGAAGGGTAAGCTGGGACGAAGTGAGAGAGTGGCACGGACTTATATATACTACCAAATGTAAAATAGATAGCTAGTGGGAAGCAGCCGCATAGCACAGGGCGATCAGCTCGGTGCTTTGTGACTACCTGGAGGGGTGGGATACGGAGGGTATGAGGGAGATGCAAGAGGGAGGAGATATGGGGGTATATGTATATGTATAGCTGATTCACTTTATCATAAAGCAGAAACTAACACACCATTGTAAAGCAGTTATACTCTAATAAAGATGTTAAAAAAAAAAAAAGGCACATGACAACTGAATGAAATACCTGATCCTAGGCTGGATTCTGTACTGAGGGAGGAAGAAAACTAAAGATAAAGGATTTTATTGAGTCAATTTATACCAATTGACTAAATAAAAGTATTGT